TGTTTTCAAATGTGCTTTGGGAGCAATCAAACCTTTCCCTTCCTTCCGCTTCCGGAGCCACTTTGGGACGCCCCAGCAATGCGCGTTGAACTCACATTTCATACGTTTTCAAGACACTGGGGAGCGCAGGGAGAGCAGAGCTGGAGGAAGAAGGCAGGACCTGAGTCGTGCCCTGGCTGGGCAGGTTTGTGACACAGAGACTTTCATTGTCAATGCACTACTGTAACGGGTGAAGCTTCTGGAGTCTTTTTCTCTTGCCTCTTTCTGCAGATCTTACCTTTCATTGGGACCAGGCACACCTTCTCTGCCTCGGGTGCTGCATTTCCCCTCAGCACCTTTATTCTCACCATTCTTGCTGATCAGAGAATTCCTTACAGATGTTTTTCACAGCTCACGGCTCTGGTGCTTCAGCCAGGGCATAAAGACAGGATGGCTTGAAACCCACAGTGGGTTTCTCATTGTGCAGCAGAGCACTGGACCAACTGCACTAATCCTTTCCAAAAAGCTCAGTTCGACACATCAGTATTTAGTGGGTTTTAACTTGGTATTTCCAAGGCTAAACATGACAAAGCAGAAATGTGCCTTGAGGATGTTGTTGTAAAAGGCCTTCTCTTTCTTTGTAGGAAACAAGGCTTGGGAGGCTCATCAATGAGGTGAGGAAGAAGACATCCAATGAGGAGCTTGCCAAACGTGCCAAGAAGCTGCTGCGGAATTGGCAGAAGCTGATAGAACCTGTAACCCAGAGCGAAGCGGTGCCGCGGGGGCTGCCCAACCCGCCCGGCTCGGCAAACGGGGGCGCTCACAACTGCAAAGCAGAAGCGCAGCTTCCTGCCGTGGCTGGGTCGAAGCCCATCAGCGAATTGAAAAGCAGGAATGATATCCAGAAACTCAACTCTCCCAAACCTGAGAAGCTAGGGAATCGGAAAAGGAAAGGTGAACACAGGGACGGGCATCAGGGCCCTCCTCCCCCAAAAGTCTCCAAAGCTAGTCATGAAGTATTACAAAACTCTTCGCCCCCTCCAACCAATGGAATTGGGGGCAGTCCTGAGAATTTCCCTAGCCCTGTAGATGTAAACCTACATGCAGGGCCTGAAGGCAGTAGGACAGAACTCAGTGAAAACGATAAACACAATAAAATCCCAGTAAACGCTGTAAAACCTCACACCAGTTCTCCAGGACTTGTAAAACCTTCAAGCACTTCCTCGTTATTAAAGACTGCAGTGCTTCAGCAGCATGATAAATCAGAAGAAGCCACAGGACCGCACCAGCCCAAGAGTCCTCGCTGTTCCTCCTTTAGCCCTAGAAATGTCAGGCATGATGCTTTTGCTCGGCAGCATACGACGTACTCACCAAAGGATTCGATGCCCAGTCCGTCTCAAAGGTCTCAGTTCGTAGACACTGCACAGGTGCCATCGCCACCACCATCCTTGATGCAACCTTCAACACCTCCCTTGCCAGCGAAAAGACTGGAGTTCTCTCAGCAGGCGGTAGCTGAGGTGTCTCAGCACTGGCCGGAGCAGCAGGTACCTTCGGAAAGCCAGCACAGGCACCCAGCAGGGACCCTCCAACAGCACACAGCTCCCAGCTGCAAAGCCAGCTCCCACCCCGGGGAATCTCTCACGCCACACACAGGCTTTTCACAGGACACTTCCAAAATGGACAGCGATGATGCTGCTTCGGGTTCTGACAGCAAAAAGAAGAAAAGGTACCGACCCAGAGACTATACTGTCAACTTGGATGGGCACGTGACAGAAGGGGGTGTGAAACCGGTGAGGTTAAAAGAGAGAAAGCTCACTTTTGATCCCATGACAGGACAGATAAAACCTTTAACACAGAAAGATCCTTTGCAGGTAGAAATCCCCACGCTTACCGAGCAGCACAGGACAGACACGGAAAAGCAGGAGCAAAAACCCAACCTGCAAAGCCCATTTGAACAAACGAACTGGAAAGAGTTGTCCAGAAACGAAATCATTCAGTCATATTTAAACAGACAGAGTAGCTTGCTGTCTTCATCAGGAGTACAGACTCCAGGAGCTCACTACTTCATGTCTGAGTATTTAAAGCAGGAGGAAAGCACTAGAAAAGAGGCTAGAAAGACTCATGTTCTAGCTCCTAACAGCAAACCTACAGACTTGCCTGGGGTCACAAGGGAGGTCACAAGTGATGACCTCGACAGAATATGTGAACATCACTGGCCAGGCGTGAACGGTTGTTACGACACACAGGGTAACTGGTATGATTGGACACAGTGCATATCTTTAGATCCACACGGGGATGATGGTAGATTGAACATCCTGCCTTACGTCTGCCTAGACTGAGTTCCAGGTTTGCTAAACACAATGCTTGTTACATCTGCAGTTAGCAAAACCGGCAGGCGCGATGCCACTTCCACATGGAGAAAGCTCCTGTCCTGGACACCCAGGCCCAACGAGCAGAGGGTGGGAGGGAGCTGGCTCGCTCCAGCTCTGTCCTTTCAATTCTCCTTTTGTGAAATGCTGCTACCAGTTTACTAACAATTGCAAAGGAAGGCATACGAAGGTTGATCCATTGAGTTCCAAACTCTTTATAGCAAGCCAGCTATAAAAAAAGTGTTAGTCCCCGAGAAGGAAGAGGATTTCCAGCACTTTCTGAATGCCGGAATCTGATTACAGGCAGGTACAGAGAAAATTGTGGAAGTTACCTTAACAAAAATATGCATCTATTTATTTGACTTGATTTGGGGTTTTATTTGGCAGTGAGATATTGGAGAGACAATGTGCAAACCCTGTAGTTTTATTTGTCACATCTCTGAACATGATTGCGTTTGGGGGGGGGGTGTTTGGTTTTTCCGAGTCATGTGGTACGGAGATTGGGTTTTAAACAGCCGGTGTTGCACTGCAGGCTGGGAGCCCAGCTTCAGCTCAACATTCCATAGGCATCCACATATTTTAGTCTGGTTTCAGTTTAAATCCAGTCTCTGAGAAATGCTGCAAAAAAAAAAAACAAACAACAACCTAGATGTTGAATGATATTTTTGATCCCACCACCTCCAGCCAAATATTTTTCCTCCTTTTCCCTTCCTGCAAACTTCCAGGAAAAAGAAAAAAAAACCCACAAAAAAAAAGCAAAAAAAAAAAAAAATTAAAAAAAATTAACAAAAATCACCTTTTCTAGAACCTAAATGTAATGAGGGTGCTACAAGTTTGTAACTGTACTGTGAGAGGGAAAAAGGAAGCCTGTTTGTATGCTGGAAATATACTTGTTACCATTCCTTTAGATATTGTTTGCCTTATGGATATCCATCATAAACGCAATTTGCAAAAACAAAGAGCCTTAGTGAATGTACAGTAACCAGACTTCTGTGTTCCTGGGATGCAGAAGGGAGCAACTTTGCTATTTGGTCCTTTAAGTGGACACATTGTGATATAAATGTGGAAATAAAGAAAATTTGCACAAACCACTTTGTGAATTCTTGATGCTCAGCTTTTGGTTTTCCATCAGTTGGGAGCGGCGCTGAGGAGCTCTTGGAGCAGTGGGATGGATGGAAGGAAGGAAGGAAGGAAGGAAGGAAGGAAGGAAAGAAAGAAGGAATCCCAGGTGACACTAGCAGGGGTGGGCCTGGTGTTTTTCATGGCTGATGGTGGTGTTCAGTCACACAGGTTCAGTAGAGGTTTATAAGCTCTTGTTGCACCCATGAGACTGAGAACCCGACTGCTTCATGGTCAGCTTTTTCTCCCCATAGCTTTTAATGTGTTATTCCTACTTGTTAAAATGCTTTTGGAAGCAGCCCTGGCTTGGTACACAAAGCACTGTTAACTGTGATTGCTTTAATATGGGACTGTTTGTCTGCTGCGGTCAGACAGGGAGGTGATGCTGCACCAAAAGTACCCTTGGTTGAGTGCTGTTCTAACTCTGTTATCCCACTGCTGCTGGATCCCGCTGTGTGGACAGGAGCTTTGCCAAGACTCCCAGAGCAGCTGGGCTCCTGCTTGGTTTCCAGGGGTGTTCCTTGCTGGGTGTGTGTGAAGCTGGGTCCTTCTCCGGAACACAGCTGACAAGGTTTGTGTCTTGTCTCTTGTTCAAGCCTGCTTCTGTGACCTGGCCATGCTGAGATGTGTGGCTCTCGGAAACGCTGATGTTTTGTCTGCTTCCACTTCTGAAAGGGGAGGCTTTGAGAGGGAAACCAGAAGCAGCAGTTACCAAAAGGGTGTTTCCAAGTGTTTTCAGTTTCCTTCCAGTGTCCTCCTGTAGCTGATGGGGTAGTTTAGAGCTGTCCTGGAGGTGGATTGGATGGCAGAGGGTTCAACAGTTGGCCCCTTTTGGGAAGTGCTTGGGGTTTATGTAAAGACTGCATCTTGCTCCTCCTGCCTCCTCCCTTCTCTGAATGGTCCTGCTGAGGGGCAGGGTCCTGCTCTGCTGCGGCTTTCCCTCCCCTCCTCACTGCTGCAAGCCATGGCCCTTGCAGGGCAACTCGGGTGTCATCCATGGTGAGCAGAGGCTTTGACAATCCCTGTTCCAGCGGTGACAACACAAGGTGAGCTCCAAAGGGCCGGGGATGAGGTTACCGGGCGCTGCTTCAGTTTTGTGAGCAAGTTCCAGTGCGGTTTTCCCCTGTGCGTGCTCTGTGCCCAGCTCCGGTTCTCTGCCCCTGACTCACACAAGCTGTAACTCAGAGCCTGCCCTCTCCTGTCAGTGGCGCAGACGCGGCTCTTCACGGGCCCTGAGCCCCTCACCGAGGCAATGGACGGGGTTTTAAAGCCCGGGGTCACCGGGCCGTGACCTCTGCTCCTCCGCCGCCCTTTCCGCTCCCCCGTGAGGCCTCCGTGCTCCAGAGACCAACCGCTGGGCCCCGTGCGCGCAGCTCCCCCCTGCGCTGAGGCCGCACCGGGACCCGGCGGGAGGCGCCGCGTCGGAAGTGACGTAGCCCCGGCCGCCGGCCCCCGTCGCGCTGAGGCGCGGCCCCGCCCCGCCCCGGGAAGCGACGCGTTGGCGGCGGTGACGTTCCAGCGGCGCGCGGAGCCATGGCGGCCCCGCTGGCGGCTCCGGGCGGCACCGGGGCGGCCGCGGCGGCGGCTCCGGGGCGGGGGGGGCGCGGGCCGGCGCTGCGGGAGGGGGCGCGGGTGTCGGCGCTGTGCCTGGCCTGGTACGGGCTGAGCGCGGGCGGGAACGTGGTGAACAAGCTGCTGCTCGGCGGCTTCCCGCGGCCCGTCACCGTCTCCTTGTTCCACATCCTGGGGCTCTGCGGGCTCCTGCCGCCGCTGCTGCGCGCATGGCGGGTGCCGCCCGCCGGCCCGGCCCAGCTGCCGCCCCGCGCCTACCCCCGCTACATCCTCCCGCTCGCCTTCGGCAAGTACTTCGCGTCCGTGTCCGCGCACGTCTCGCTCTGGAGGGTCCCGGTCTCCTACGCGCACACAGGTAAGGGTCCGGGGGGGGCGGGGGGGGGGTGTCACGGTGCCACCGGTGATCATATGGGGGCCCGGTGCGGTGAGCTGAAGGCCTGGGTCCATGTGCCTGGAGTGCCCGGTGCAGCGTCCTGAAGGCCTGGATCCATGTGCCTGGAGTGCCCGGTGCAGTGTCCCAGAGCACCAGGAACCGGCCAGCGAGTGCCTGGCACAGCGGCAGGAGGGACACCCAGCTGAGGTTATGGCTTCAGTGGGACTGGACCCTGGTCCTCCTCCATCCCCAGTGCTCCCCCTCTGCTGATGGGGGTTGCTGGAGTTGGCCCGAGCTTCGCATCCCCACCAGTGTTCTCTTTCCATCCCCAGTCAAAGCGACGATGCCGATCTGGGTGGTTCTTCTGTCGCGGATCATTATGAAGGAGAAGCAGACGACGAAGGTGCGGACAGGTTTGCTGTGGGTCCTTCTCCTGGGGGTGCTTGTGGCGTGCTCTGCTGGCTGGGATTGGGACGGGGGGCACAGTTTGTGATTGAAATGAGAGAAACTAGATTTCCAATTCAAAACAAGCTGTGGGAACCATCTCTAGAGTCAAGATATCACAGAATCCCAGCCTGGTTTGGGTTGGAAGGGACCTTAAAGCTCCTCCAGCTCCAACCCCTGCCAGGGCAGGGACCCCTTCCACTGGAGCAACTTGCTCCAAGCCCCTGTGTCCAACCTGGCCTTGAGCACTGCCAGGGATGGGGCAGCCACAGCTTCTCTGGGCACCCTGTGCAGGGGCCTCAGCACCCTCACAGGGCAGGAATTCCTTGAATTCCAATAGTATAAAAGTTGACCCCTGCTTCTGTCGCTTTATTCTTCCTTCTGCTTTCCTCCCCCCATCAGCATTCTGTACAAACTCAGTGGCAATGAAAGTTCATAACTGTAAGGCGCTCCTCTCTGTTCCTCTTCCAGGTGTACTTGTCTCTGATCCCCATAATAACCGGTGTCCTGTTGGCCACTGTCACAGAGCTTTCCTTTGACATGTGGGGGCTCATCAGTGCGCTTGCTGCTACGCTGTGCTTCTCACTTCAGAACATCTTCTCAAAGAAGGTGAGGGTTTTGCTGTTCATCGCATGGGGCAGCAGCCTGTAGCAGGACAGAATGAGTGTATTTTCCAGTCTATATATCCTCTTAAGTTAACTCTGCAGTCGAAGGAGCCCCAGGTAACAGCTGGCTGTTTTGTCTGCCTGTTCTCTACTGCTCTTTAGAACCTGTTGAAGCTGTTACACTGAAAATAAGGCAGAACTCAGAGTTCCCTGAGCCTTTCGTTTAATCCGTGTCTGGTTTTCTTTAGTAATCCTTATAGAAAACTCCTACTGTAACAGTATTTAATTATTTTCATCATTTATCTGTCATTTAAACCTGTCGCTCTTACCTGGCTTCTGAATCTCTGCTGATAACATGGGTGGTAGCTGAGGAAAGGCTAACATCATCTTTAATGATGGTTTTTGTTAGGTGTTAAGAGACTCCCGAATACATCATCTCCGATTGCTGAACATACTCGGGTGCCATGCTGTGTTCTTCATGATCCCAACGTGGGTTTTGGTAGATCTTTCTTCCTTCTTAGTAGAGAATGACTTGGTAAGTGTTGTGTTTGGGAAACGGTTCCCTATTAAGAAAGAAAAGAGGAAAAGAGAACAAAACCAACACACCATCACTCAGCCAGACAAAGTGCCCTTAAGGGTTCCAGTGTAGTTCCTCCTCTGTGTGGAAGGAACTGTTGTGAAATGCTTGTAAACTGTTTCACCAAAGAGTATTAGAAAATCCATTGTAAGAATTCAGGGTTAGAGGCAGCGTACGTTGTGAATATAAATCTCAGGAATCAGTAGCCGGAGAGAGGAACAAATGCACCTGAGTGGGTGTCACAGAGATGTGGAGGGGTTCTTGCGAAGTCAGGAGCTGTGTAATGTAACGTACTCGGGTGCCTCTTTAGAGTTAAGTTGCAGACATTCTTCTATTGGTGGCAAGTAAGAAATGACTCAAGTTGTATTTGTGTTTCTTCATCTCTTATCTGCAACCTGAGATAACTTTTTCCCTTGTGATGTTTGTCTTTATAACAGAGCACGATGTCTCACTGGTCCTGGACCTTGATGCTGCTTATTATCAGTGGATTCTGTAACTTTGCCCAGAACGTCATTGCCTTCAGTATCCTGAACCTGATCAGCCCGCTAAGTTACTCGGTCGCAAATGCCACCAAACGAATCATGGTCATCACAGTGTCCCTTATAATGCTTCGCAATCCAGTTACGAGCACCAACGTCCTTGGGATGATGACAGCCATCCTGGGGGTCTTCTTGTATAACAAGGTAAGGGGGTTTATTCAGGAAACTCACTTGACACAGCCCAGTAGCTTCACATTCTTTTTTGTAGCACAAGGAACTTGCTAGCAGAACAAACACACAGAATGTGTGGCATAAAACTTCATTGCAAGGAGGTCTGTGTATCACCAAAGCAGAGTATGCAGGTGTTTGGGTGAGGCCAGCTGCCGAGCCCCTGACAATGTGAATTCTGATCTTCGGATTCTCCTGGCAAATGAAGATTGGGAAGTAACATAACCCAAGCTCTTCAGCAAAAGAGCAGCTTATTGATTTGGCTTGTGAGAGGAATGAGGGTTTTGTCAGAAGTCACTAGTAGACCCTTAGCAGGCACAGGTAGCAGTGTAATTGTAAAACCAGATGCTTTCTGCTAGGTGTATGAATGCGTTAGGTGGTATCTGAGAAAAACATTCCTTCTTTCTTTCCCAGACCAAATACGATGCAAACCAAGAAGCAAAGAAGCAGTTACTTCCAGTTACAACTGGAGACCTTGTGAACCTAGACCGGCATCGGAACACTCCCGAGAAGTCTCAGAATGGACTTACTGCATTTGCACCACACGGAGACTATCAGTATGGTCGAACCAATATCCTAACAGACCACTTCCAGTATAGCCGGCAAAACTATCCAACCACCTACAACTTAAATCGTTTTGATATATAGAGTCCTGGCAAACAGGTATAGACTGTGATATCAGAGTGTCCCCAGCATTATCAGAAACTTTTTAGTACATCCATGAATGTAAAGCCATTTTATTGTACAGGTTTTGCAGAAGGGAAGATGCATGTGTAGTGAAAGCGGTACAGACCTTCAACTTCTGCTGAGCAGAGCTTGGACATGAAACAGCTCCATCTGACACTGGAACTAAACACGCGGTGTAGCTTTTGTACAGAGATCCTGGTGAAAGCACGTATGTAACTTCAGAGTAAAATACCTGCTGTTGCTGCTCCTTTTCAGAGTCTGTCAACTGATGATTCTTTTGGCAGCTGAATTGTGGCCAGTATTTTCTTTCCATGCTGGTAACGTCACCTTTAATTTGTTCTCTGATACATTTTAGTGATACTTTTAATGAAACTTTCAAAAAGAAGTGGAACTTCTGGTTAGCAGGATTTGTCTGTTTGAGGAGGATCGACTCAGTTGCAGGTAGGGTAGGCCTGAATTCACTTGAGCAACTACCAAACTTCATGAGGGTATTAACTACTTCTGCACCTCTGCCTTCTGCTTTTGATGGTGAACCAGAAGTGTTTCTGAAAGAGTTGGCAGTAGAATGATCTCTTCAGAAAGCAGGCTTGAGGCACAGAGAAACAGAATTCTCTAAAATCACAGTTGTCCCACTCACTGTAGATAACAGACAGAGCTTAAATTCATCATTGTTTCCTGAATAATGTCATACTGTAACTTCAGAACTTTCTCTTGGCAATACAGAAAACGCCTTCACAAATAAAGTGTTTGGAGTAAGATGATTTATTTTTTTAATTGCTTCATACCTGTTCTCACAAAACTCCTGTGTTACTTTAGAAATTGAAAGGTTTAAGGTGTTTTCTTCATGAATTATGTTCTATTATATGCTTCATATATTATGAATGCATTCATTTGAATAATCATTTGAGTTGTTACTCAAGTCTATTTCTTTAGCCCCTGATTGTTAAGTTCCTTAACTACTGCTGTTGGAGTTGCTGTGTGCATTTAGCCTGACTTCCATTTTCCACTGAAAGAAATTAAAATGTGTGTCCTGCAACTCCCCTAGCTCAGATAGTAACTTATTAAGAAAAGAGTATTTAAATCAGCATTAATGAGTTAATTTATGGTTAGGAAGAACTGATTCAGTTAGTAGGAATTAATTAATTCTAGACAAGTTGATTGTTTTGTGTCAGGTACTGCATTTGTGCATGAAAGGAAGGAAAGCAGGTGACTTGGGTTTCACTGAATCAGGTTGGTACTGTTAGTACTTTAGCAAGACAAGATTTTAGGGTCTTCTGATCAGAAAAGCTGTTGTACAGTGAGAGTTTTGATAGCATTAAGTACTATGTTTGTACTAGAGAGGCATTAGACACCAGTGACAAAATCTAGGGTGTCGTACAGAGCACTCCATCTATTTATTGCTTTAAAAACTTTCATGATGTAAGATGATGATTTGGCTCATTCTGGATAATAAAGAATTCATTTTTAAGTGCAGAGTCAACCTGATGTTATTCTTTTGGCTGACTGTGGAGGTAATTATGGAACCTGGCTTCCACCACACAGTCCAAAAGAGGAAATGGTCCTTTCTGAAACATCAGAGGCGGGTTAATATGCTGCTAATGTTTGTGAGCAGAACCTCCTTGACTCGATTGGTGTTGAATCTGTTCATGTGAGCTTAGAACTTGGGCTTTTAGTTTAGGAAATCAAAATGAACTATTACCTAACTGAGGTTAACAAGGACAGGGTAATGAGGGAAAGAATTCTTACAGATTAAACATCTTTTGCCTGTTCCAGTATTAATTTATATATAATTACTTCTTTTTAATAAGGGGAAGTGCAAAATGTGTCTTTCTAAGGCTTACCTCCCAATATTTAAGTGCTTTTGCATAAGTGCAAAAAGGATTGTATGGACTCAGGGTTTGGATTTGATTTGAGGACAAGATATTTAGGCTGAGGTTTTTAAGAGGGGCTGAAGTTCTCCAACTGCTTGCAAAGAGTGCGAGCTGTAAACTACTGAACTCCTGCAGACACTTAATTGTCTTCTTTGTGCCTCAGTTTTGCATTTGGAAAGTGGAGATGGTTCTTCCTTCCTTCACAGTGGAGTGAAATACCAGAAGCAGTCAGCAGTGGGGGGGTCCCAGGGATATACAGGCACCCTCTGAGTTCATCTGTGCATTTTCTGGTATGTCTGTCACTGTACTGCCTTCAGACAACTTGAATTGTTAGATGGAATAAAGCTCCGTGTACTTTATTCACGGAGCAGTGGCTTTATTTAATACATTTAGGTGACTTCCTGTTGAAAGAACATGACCAGGTCTTTTTTGCAACAGAAAAAGAGAAAGCTTGTACCCAGTGCACATGCAGGGCAAAAAGGGACTGACCCAAATGAGGATACCATCTGTTTAAGACCTGGAGAGTGAATCTTTTCCCTGGAGCTTGCCTGACAGTGTGCACGCTCTTCTAGTCCAGGTCTGTGGTCAACAGGGATCATTTTGGGTAGAGGAACATGTAATTAAAACGGTTATGTGACTGGGTTACAAGAGGTGGTTTTGCTGCATACCTCAGTCCAGGTCCTTAAGCAATATTGCCCACATCCAGGTGAAGGAAGTTTCTGATACTGTTGTAATATATCTTTTAATCCTGGCCCGCTGTGAGATTTTGTTTGGCAAGGTGGAATGTTTGTTTTATCATGGTTTGTAAATTAATGCCATATTTAACTCTGTACATAGGTCTGTAGAAAGTATGGAAACACTGGAATAAAAAGGGTGTATCTAGACAACGGTGTATAATGACCCTGTTATTAAGTCAAGGTGAATGGGGTCGGTTTGGGTGTTTCACTTGCAGGAAGCTTTGGGAGTGCCAAATAGTGGTAATGGATTTCGCATGAGGAATCAGATTAATGTCATGTTGTACCAGTGTGATCCATTACCAGATGGTTCCATAGGCTTGAAACTGCCATGACTTGGATGCCATATCTAGGACACTAGTCACTGGTCTGTATCATTAGAAATGGTTTCATTACCATGATGAATCGCTAATGTACGTGTAAATACATTGCAAAAGTGACAAATTCTTCCCGACCTGGACAGTTGTAGAAATGCCAGTGTGAAAGAAACCGATGTCTCCCTGCTGCTTCTGGGTTTGCTGTTGTAAGTACTTGGTGCTCCTTCGAGAGATCTTCAGACCATTTCCCTCACCCGTTTGGTTTTAGTACCCAGTTGTGATGAGAGCATCTTTATCACCTGGTAAAACACTTGTGGTTTTAGTGCTAAGACTGAGGCAACAGCTTTGCAGGTGGACGGTGATTTGTAACAATGGCATTGGTCACAATGATTCCTGATCCTCAATGAGACTTTTTGTTTCCGCTCTTGTTCGAGCCCGCGTTTCTGATGTAGCATTTTGCAGGCAAACCTCTTTGTGAAAAAGGTGCAATGTAAATAAAGGGAAGGTTTTGTTTTTCTAACCATGGTGTCATTTTTAGCAGCTCTGTTATATCAGAAGCATTTTCAGCAGCCGTCTTCAAGGTCTTCTCTAACCTGTTGATTCTTTGTGCTCAGGGGATAAGCAGGTAGAATGCTGAGGGGCGGCTGGAGGATGCAGTCACGTTATGTGGATGTGCAGGTAGCACGGCCACCCATCCTTTGGTTTATTGTTGTTTAAGGCTTAAATACGGCTGCAGTGGGCTTTCCCTCGACGTAAAGGACACGTTTAATGCCCAAGGCCCGAGCCGCGCTGCCCGCTACGGCCGCCTCTTGTGTGGAGAACGGCCGTATGTGCGCCGCGCCGTTTCCATAGCGCCGGGGCCGTAAAGCGCGGCCGCGCGTACCGCCTGGCGCTTCGCGGCACTTCCGGCCGGTGCGGCCTAGCGGCGGTGGCGGTCCGGCGGCGCCCCGTTGTCCCGCAGCCATGGAGATGCCGCTGCCGCCCGACGGTGAGCGCGGTCCCGGGGGGAGGAGCGGGGGTGCGGGAAGAGGAGTGGGGTCGCGGCGGGGGCTGACGGCGCTGTGTCCCCACAGACCAGGAGCTGCGGAATGTCATCGACAAGCTGGCGCAGTTCGTGGCGCGGAACGGGCCCGAGTTCGAGAAGATGACGATGGAGAAGCAGAAGGAGAACCCCAAATTCTCCTTCCTCTTCGGGGGCGACTTCTACGGTTACTACAAGTACAAGCTGGCCCTGGAGCAGCAGCAGCGTGAGTGGGGGCCGCGGCGGGCTCGGCTCCCCTGGTGCCCGGCCCCGGCCGGTGGAGCCGCTTTGTGCCCTCCCCGGCCTCGCTGTGCCTCGCAGCCGCTTCCCGTCCTCTGAGCGCCATGAGGGCGGTTGGCTGAGCCCTGCTCGCGGCTCCCGACGCCCCCCGCCTGCGGTGCGGGCCTGGCCGGCCTCGGGCCCCGGCTGCGCGGGGAGTTCAGCGCCCGCAGGGCCCTCGAGAGCCGGGTGTTCCGCGCAGCAGCGCCGGGGGCTGCTCGTGCGTTGGAGTCATTCCCCTCGCAGCGGCCGAGGAGTTGCTGACGCTCCTCTTCTGCACTGTTCACCCTCAACTGCACGGTTCTTATTTTGTTTTAAGCAGTTACGTAAAGAGCAAGGGTCTGTTTTGGAACCAGCGTGGTTCTCACGTGGGCTGGTGGTAGCAGGTTTCTCTGCGAGGGTTACTTTACAAGTTTACTTTGTCTGATAGTGTTGTGCAAGCAAAGTCAAGACATCGAGGCCACTGCGCAGATCCAGCCGCTGCCACAGCCATCTCTCCCACCGGCTGCACCTATCCCAGCTCCTCAGGGCACTCCTTCCGTGGAGGAGCTTATCCAGCAGAGCCAGTGGAACCTGCAGCAGCAGGAGCAGCATCTCCTTGCAATGAGACAGGTTGGTGGAAGAGAAGCACTCCCGTGGTTTGTCCAGGACTGCCAGTGGATGTAGAAATGAGGAGCAAAGGGGGAAAGGAAGGTTTCCTTCTGAGTAGTGGTAGCTGCTTCATGTGTCTGGGGAGGAGAAGGAGCATTGCTTTGCTTATTTTTGTTCTGTGGCAGCTGCCATCGTCTCCTTGGAACAGATCTATCTTATGTACTAGCAAGATCCGTCTTTGATTAAAGCAGTTTATTTACTGTACAGAAAACCTTGTTGGGTTTGCAAAGTGGAATAGATGGTGACTGCTTTAATCTTTGCTTACTGCTGCAGGTTGCTGGGAACTGCAGGATGTTCCAGCTTGGCATATTCTAAGGTGGATGCTGTTGAGGGGTGGGAGGGTACTGTGTGCTTTGTACTAATGGTTTTTTTTAGGAGATGTTCTGCTGTTAAAACTACAGGGTGGAAATGAACTGGACTTTTTGTGAAGAACAAGGAGAGTCTTTATTTCTTGAAACCAAATAACTGACACGTTTGTGGTTGTCTTTGAGCTAGCTACATGTGGCTAAGAGGACAGTGACACAGCAGCATAGTTCTTAAAAAGCATATTGGATGGAAGATAATTCTGTCTTACTTTATCCTACTTTTTGTTTCAGGAACAAGTCACATCAGCAGTAGCTCTTGCAATTGAGCAACAAATGCAGAAAGTTTTGGAGGAAACCCAGTTAGATATGAACGAATTTGACAACTTGTTGCAGCCAATAATTGACACTTGTACAAAAGATGCAATCTCAGTAAGTGGCCTACGTCTGAACAGTCACTGTGGTTGTGGATGAAGTGTAACATGAATTTTGAGGTTGTGTAGTTCATTGTTGTGTTGGGGTGGTCAGTGAGATTATAGCTGTTCCTTGAAAACTTCCCTCTTGCAGTTATTTCAGAGTCCTAGGAAGTCTGTATGATGTGAATGCATTTGATTAACTTACAGTATTTACATGTGCTTTTCAAAGGCTGGCAAGAACTGGATGTTCAGTAATGCCAAGTCTCCTGCACACTGCGAACTGATGGCTGGGCACCTGCGGAACCGCATCACGGCAGAAGGAGCTCACTTTGAGCTTCGGTTACATCTCATCTATTTAATCAATGATGTACTGCATCACTGGTAAGACTCAGACTGTGGGTTTCAGTTCGCTGTTCTGATGAATCTGGTGAAACTCTGTTAGGTTGTTGGTTTGACTAGTCACTTTTTATATCTCATTTTAGCAGTTGTTTTAAGATGTCCATAGCTGGCACAAAGACCTAGTGCTTTAATAATGGAATTCAGCTTTTGTGTGTGTGGTTTTACTCCAGACAAGACTTTACAGTAAAAATGTAAAGGAGAGACCTCTCTATTTTATGAGTCTGTTACTTTTAGTGCAGCAGGAGCTGAGACGAATTCAGTGTTAGGATGCTCTGAGTGTTACAGTGAAAGGCAGTAACTCTTCCCATTCTTTTTTTGAAGCCAGCGGAAGCAAGCACGAGATCTCCTGGCTGCTTTGCAGAAGGTGGTAGTGCCTATTTATTGTACAAGTTTCCTAGCAGTGGAGGAGGATAAGCAACAGAAAATTGCCAGGGTGAGTATCTGGGTTTAGTTCAACCGTATGCTTTCCTTGGTTAGGTTGGTGCTAGGCAAATTCACAAATACAAGGGTGAAAGAGGACCCCTGAGATTTTTCTAGCCTGATGATCTTCATAAAGTCTGTTAGAGGATGTGCTTCAATTCATGTTTAAATTAGAACTTAAAAGCACCTAGGGTTTATTTAGAAGTTACCATAATGATGAATGCATCTGAATCTTCAGTGGTTCAGAGACAAGTGCCGATATCTTAGGGTTTTTGACAAAGCTAGACATAAAAGTGCTGTGCCTCCATTTTTCTTGTATTGTTCAGCATTTCTAAAAACCTTTCACTCTTGAATTTCTGCAGCTTCTTCAGCTATGGGAGAAAAATGGGTACTTTGATGAGTCAATTATTCAGCAGTTACAGAGCCCGGCTCTTGGACTTGGCCAGTACCAGGTTAGCCACAAAAGTAACCCTTTGCTTTATTTATGGAGCTATTTTGAAAACAAGTTTAGGAAGTGTTTTCCTTTCTTTTTTGAAAGGTAAATGTTAATCCTTCTTCCCCCCCCCCTTGAAGTAATTTACAAGGGATTACAAAAACAATGTAAAATATAACCCTGTTATATCAAACATTCAATAACCCATCTGCTGATGCGATCCAGAAAATGTGTTTGCATTTCTCACTGCTACAGTCATGTACATCTTTGACAGTGTGTTCTCTTGTTATGGAAATGAATGTTTGGTTAAAAGGAAACTAAAGAAACCATAGCTGCCAATCGGATGCACTAAGCATAAAAATTGTTGTGACAGCAGGAACTATTAGTTTTTAGCATTAATAATGAATGGTGTTGATTTTAGCTGTATTTGCAAGTGAGGCACTAGTATAGATGATGGATTCCAGCCTGCAGAGAGTAGTCTGGAAATCGTCACAGAGTTACGTGGTGTGATTAGGCTCTTCTGCCCGGTTACCCTGCATTCTCATGTGTTCCCTGGGAGAGGGGATGGAGGCCAGTGTAGGAGACTGTGAATGAGCAGATAGGATGACTGGTTTGTAGTGGTAACTTGTTCCTCCTTACTTGATCTCATCAGGCAAATCTGATCACTGAATACGCGACAGTCGTACAGCCTGTACAAGTAGCCTTCCAACAGCAGATCCAGAACCTGAAAACTCAACACGAAGAGTTTGTAAACAGTTTAACACAGCAGCAGCAGCAGCAACAAATACAAATACCACCACTGGAGAATGAGGTGAAATCGACCCCCCCACCTCAAGCCTCTGCAGCAGCACCAACCTCGGCACCATCATCTGCTCCAGTTACACAAGCAGGTACTAACCTGTTCTGGAGACCTGGGCAGAAGTCGGTGGGTGGCAACATGGGGAGGGTATTATTCTTTCTTGCTCCTTCTGTAGTACTGAGGTGCTGTGCTGGTTTGGGTCAGGCAAAAGCCTGAAGCTCTTTGGAAGCTTGAGGCTGGTGCAGTCTTCTTGAATATAAAAGAACCAGAGCCACGGATGTTAAATGGATCAGAAATCCTCTCTTCCACTAACAGATTTTTGTGGAATGCTTACGCATCCAGCAGAATTCACATGGAGCCTGTTGTAGGTGTGCTGGTGTCTTATTAGCTGCACGTGACCCGGCTGCTTATAATAGTCTCCAATTTGTTTCAGATGATGTTAAATCTCAGCTGCCTTTAGCTGGTTCTACAGAATACGACACATCAGGGTCTGGAGTGCAGGATCCTGCCTCTGGTGGACCACGTGGCCCAGGATCTCATGATCAGATTCCTCCAAATAAACCACCCTGGTTTGACCAGCCTCACCCTGTTGCACCGTGGGGTCAACAACAGGTAAGAAACGTAGTTCTGAAACAAGGCCAAAGGGTGGCGGAGGTTCAGAGTGACAGTCTTAGCTGTGGAAGTTACAAATCCAGATTCAAATGCCAAGCTTTCTCATTGTGAGCTCAGTTAAAGGCAAAGTATAAATTGTACTTCACTTTGCCAGCCATTGCACTTTCCCTATGAACAAGCAGAACAAGAATTACTGTCTTGAGTATGGAACTGTTTCATTCAGTAACAGTTTGGTCTTTTCCTGTCTCTTCTCTGAAGCTGTGGTTGTTCAGACAGCAAGTTCTTACGTCTGTTGCCTACAGGCTGAATTTATGTGTATTTATTATTTAAAAGGGGGAGATTGTTTTTTCTTGCCACCTTGATTTTTGTAGCCTGATGACCAGGCTCCTTTGCTTCCCCACCAGGGACCACCTCATTGTCCTCCGTGGAATAACAACCATGAAGGAATGTGGAACGAGCAGAGAGATCAAGGCTGGAACAATCAGCGAGAGACACCTTGGAACAACCAGCCCGATCCTTCTTGGAACAACCAGTTTGAAGCCCCGTGGAACAACCAGCATGAACAACCTCCATGGGGTGGGGGTCAAAGGGAACCTCCATTTCGAATGCAGCGGCCACCTCACTTCAGAGGCCCATTTCCTCCACATCAGCAACATCCCCAATTCAACCAGCCCCCGCATCCGCATAATTTCAACCGCTTTCCACCTCGCTTCATGCAGGATGATTTTCCACCTCGCCATCCCTTTGAAAGGCCTCCTTATCCTCATCGGTTTGATTACCCCCAGGGGGATTTTCCTCAAGGTAAAGTGTGTACCAGGCCAGGTTTTCTTACCTTGCGATGCTGATTGCCATTACGAAATTATTCAGTGCTTTGGGGTGACAGCTTATCCTTGGTGGACTGTTGTGGTTTTCCTGAGAAATGCTGAGTTTGGGGGTTTGGGAAGCCATTGCTAACAACTTGGTAGGAAATAAGAGTTGGATGCTTCCTTGCTTTTTGAGTCTTCCTTCCCTAATGGATGCAGATAACTAGAACCTGTAGTTCAAACCCAAGTCAGCATCTCCACTGGCTGATCACCACCCTTTTGTGACTGCTTCACTTTCAAATTAGTAAGCTTAAGTTCCCTATAGCAAAAAGTAAGCTCAAGCACCATTTGCTTGTAAATTCAGTCTCCTGCACATGAAGCCACAGGTGAGGGCTCTTCAGCTGTGCCCTCCATAGATGGAGGAAGTCAGAGAGAGGACAGACTGGTAACAGTTGTTTTTGTGCATACATTCTATGCCCTTCTTTTATTTTCTCTTTATTTTCACTGAAAAGCTCCAATTATCTGCTTTAACATTGTGTGGCTTGGTAGTGGCAGTAAAACCAGTCCTTAGCTCCAGTTCTCCTCCCTTGTTTGGTTTGCTCTCTTGCTGGAACATGGGGTCGTAAAGCGTAGTCACAGGACACTGCTTGCCTGGCCTGGGTGGCTCTGAGTTGGCAGTGGGCTTCCCTGTGAAGTCCAATGTAGTTCTGCCCTGATGCAGTTTCTATTTCACATGCAGAAGTTACGATTATTCCAGAATGATCTTCGTCAATGTAAAGGCTAAAGATTGCTGTGGTTCTGCATAAGCCACTTAAAGAGCAATTCATTTTCTATGTAGGAGTTGCTATTATAAGCTTAAAAGATTCTCATTTCCCCAAGTCTAAAAAATGTGGAAAAAACAGTGGATTGGAGCTTATTGTGATTAACTTCTTCGGTAGAGATTGTTCCTTTGGTTGGTTTGTTTGTTTCCTTTGAGTTTGTTGCTTGTTTGAGGAGTTGTGGCCCTGAGTAAGGAGAACAGCTTTTCTTGTCCTGAGCCAGTTAACATGGAAGCTCAGGAAAACATGCTCTGGTTTGGATTGGACTGGTGATCCAAAACATCCTTGTTTCATGGGAAGTTGCTGGAGGAGGGCATATACTAACACAGATGTGTAAAATGAGGAGAGTGGTGAAGCAATGACAGCACAGACTGCTCAAGTGCTAATGAAGCGGAGCACACGGTGCTGACTGAAGATTGGGCAGTGGCTGTAATGGCTTTTCCTGGGAAAACTGTTGGGCCTGCTGCAGAGGGTGTTGATTTTTGGTCTTGCATTTCTCTCTGTGTAGTGCAGGGAGCTCAGCAGGGTATCCTGGCGCTCACGGCAAATGGTTCGTCCATCAGGGACATCTCTGGTTTAACAGGATGTTATCTCTGCCTCTGCTTGAAATGCCTCTTTAAACAAAGTATTTTCTTGTCACCTACTCATGTGAGTTAATTCCTGCCATACTTACTTGGGTTTGTGTGTTGATTTGGCATAAAGACAGAACTATGGGTCCATGCTAAGCCCTGATTGTGCATTTTGGCTTCAGAAAAAGATCCCACCAGTAGCTGCGCTGCTACATCTGAAACCTTTTGTTCTTGAGCATATCTTTCTTGTGGTACTTTCTGACCACAGTATGTCCCTAAGTGAGCAGTGGCTTAGGATTCAAGTATCCTGTTGTCTCAAGAGCGGTAGCTGTGGCCAGGGAGGGAGATGCGCTGCAAGATACTGACAAATGCAGCCCTGTAGCCTCTAGTTCTGCAGTTCTGCTGCTTTTCTGGATCTGCTAAGGGTCTTTTCTAGGATGAATGCAGTAATTGAAGTACATCTCTGACTGCCTTCCTTTCCCTATAGCAAAATAAAGCGTTTTAATCCTCCCTCTGCAGAAATCGGACCTCCTCATCATCATCCTGGTCACAGATTGCCTCATCCTGGAATCAGCGAGCATCCTCCCTGGGGAGGGCCGCAGCACCCTGATTTCGGGCCTCCCCCTCATGGCTTTAATGGGCAGCCTCCTCACATGCGGCGACAGGGCCCCCCGCACATGAACCACGACGATCCCAGCCTGGTGCCAAACGTTCCCTACTTTGATCTTCCTGCTGGACTGATGGCTCCACTTGTAAAAGTAAGTGCTTGCAATGGGTCCTGACTACTGGGATTAAAAGATCAAAATCCTGTGGTTGGTATTAGGGACAGTTTAATGTGGACATTTATCATTTCAAATCCTTCCATCCAGCACCCATTAGTCAGAGTTCTTGTACGGGTTACAAGGGCAGGAGCTAAGGGAGAGGGTAGTGAAAACTGCAGTGTTTTTCAGTGTTATGTGCCGGTGAAAGCTCGTTGAGCTCATGTATGTGAAAGACTTAATTTACCCTTCAAAATCTTATCCCTGTTTTTAGAAAGTAGAAATCCCTGCTGATTTTCAGATGGCCAGGGGGACTTTGCATTTCTGGCGTGGCCACTGTGTACTAGTTTTTGGTATTCAGAGTTCTTTCGTACAAAGATGTTTGCAATACTGGTGTTATATATGCAAAGAACGGTAGAGAACAGGAAATGTATCTGTGCCAGCATCTTCAGGGATATACATGTTTGTGTTCTGTGTTTGGGATGAACAAGAGGGTCTCTTCCGTCACCAACTTCATGTTACTCTCAGCTTTTGCCAGGCTTCCAGCCAGCCACTGTTACACAAAGGTGGATAGATGAGATCTGCGTTTTAGCTACCTGATGAGCCAGTTAATGCTGCAACCTGGGCAGTGCTGGCTTTGCTTGTAGAACCCAAAATGGTAGCGATAGCACGAGAAAGCATTGGGTCACCTGCACAATCCTTATGTCTGGACCAGTTTTTATCCCAGTAGTGAAATGTGAGGTCCCTACACAGTTAAATCTATATTTCTCTCTTCAGGTAGCTACCCCATGACACATGACACGAATGTAATTTGTTTTGTTTCCGGCAGCTTGAAGATCATGAGTATAAACCTTTAGATCCTAAAGATATACGTCTTCCACCCCCAATGCCCCCCAGTGAGAGACTGCTGGCTGCGGTTGAGGCATTTTATAGTCCACCATCTCATGACAGGCCTAGAAACAGGTAAGAGTAGGTATAGCTAACAATATGGTAAGGAAAATGCCCTAAGAAGCTGTCTCAAACCACGAAGTGCCTCTCTCTCCCTTCGCCTGTGTCTTGGTTCTTCTAATGCTGAAATGAGTGCTCTTGTGTTGTAACCTGCACACACTGTTTGATCTCATTGAGATTTGTGAGACCTTTTTGCCCAGGCCCTTTGTTCCCTACAAAACCCAGTGGACATCCTGAACGTCTCCATTGATGGAAGCAGAATTTGACAGATGTCGGTTCTGTGGTTGATTTGTTGCAGTGAAGGCTGGGAGCAGAATGGACTGTACGAATTCTTCAGAGCTAAAATGAGAGCGAGGCGGAGGAAAGGTCAGGAGAAGAGAAATAGGTGAGAGATCCCATGTGCTGCCTTGTGAATGCTGTTTGCCTGGAAGGTGCTAGGAATATCTTGGGTTAAATGCAGAGGGAAAGTCTGTTCAGCAACATGCTGATGGAATAACTGAGCTTCAGCTTGCTGGAATTTGTCTAATCTGCAGAAAATGGTTTTTGCGACACTCAAGTTTTCATTGGGTTGTCTGCAGAAATCCAGTGCTTGCGTGTCACGTGAATTGGATCACAAGTGTGTTTCAGTTACATGTGCTTCTCCGAGGAGTTTCACTGGGGTTTCTCTGCTTTTATCTGGGCAGCGGGCCGTCTCGGTCTCGCAGTCGGTCTAAAAGCCGCGGTCGCTCGTCCTCCCGGTCCAATTCCCGATCTTCAAAGTCATCTGGCTCCTATTCGAGGTCACGCTCTCGCTCCTGCTCTCGATCACGATCCTATTCCCGCTCGCAGTCCAGGTAGAGTACAGCAGGCCAGCCCTTGGCAAGTGGAGGGGTGGACAAACCCCAGCCCTCAGGGTAGTTGTGCTGGGGTAGTTTGTACATCTGGCCTTGTGTGCTCACCTCTTCCAGGAGCCGGAGCAGGTCCCGCTCCTCTCACAGCCGCTCGCGGTCACGATCACGGTCAAGGTCGAAGTCGTACTCACCTGGAAGGCGGCGCCGGTCCCGGTCTCGCAGCCCCACTCCTCCGTAAGCTTTTGCTTGTTGATGTCCTGGTTTACCTGTGTTGTTTGGAGAAGTATCAAGGAGGATTCCTTCTCCTAAGCTGAGTGTAATGAGCTTTCAGCAAATAGTAGAAAAGAAGATTGAAAGCAGATATAGAAACAATTTATGTGCTTATAGAGAGGATGTTACTCTGTTGTGGTGGCTTTATGTGTCTTCATGGGGAGCAGGAGAAATCCTCTGAGTACTCTCTGCTAGGAAGACTGTAGTGTTTGATTTCATTTGTAGCAAGACACAGGTAGGGTGATTCTGACACCTTTGTAACATCATAATCTTTATAAAAGAATAGCTTGTTGGGTGTTAGTATTGAATATAAGTGACCCTGCTTTGGGTCAGAACAGTATTGCTTGTTCTTAGTTTGTTCTTTTTATTTCCTTAGTTCTTCTGCTGGTTTGGGCTCCAGTTCTGGGCCTACTATTCCAGAATCAAGACTTGGAGAAGAAAATAAAGGCCATCAAATGCTAGTGAAAATGGGTAAGATCCTGTTTTGGACTCTTAACACAAGCCAGGAAACAAAACCAGGCATCACACTCATGGATACAGTTAACTAATGCATGTTCATAAGGAATTATCCATTGGCATTCCAAGCTCAGCGTGAGGATACTCAGAGATGTAAGTGTATGAAACATGGAGCAGTGGTGGTAGTTGCCTTTCTGCAAAGGATCTGGAAGACAAGGACCTGAGTTTGGCATCAGCTAGAACTTGCTATCCAAGGTGTTCTATCTCCCTGTGAGTGCAGCTCAGGGGTTGACCAGCAGCTTGGCCTCACACTGCCTCCTCCCTTGCCCTCTTAAAAGTGTTTTGGGATAGTGCTGGTGTTGAATGGTTTTGAAACAAATGGGACAGTTCCTGTGGTGTTTCAGGCTCTCCATTACCATCCTGCTACATCAAATTGATACTCCCTTTCGTTGTTTCCAAAGTATCTGTTTGTCTGTCTTCCAAATTCTAGTAATTGCAGGATTTCAATGTTGTGTCCTTTGGGCAGGATGGAGTGGATCTGGTGGATTGGGAGCCAAGGAACAAGGGATTCAGGATCCAATTAAAGGAGGGGATATCAGAGATAAATGGGATCAATACAAAGGAGTGGGAGTTGCATTAGACGACCCTTACGAAAACTACCGAAGAAATAAAAGTTACTCATTTATCGCTCGCATGAAGGCCCGAGATGAATGTAAGTGATTATTTCTAAGTTGAAAAACTCTGTGGACTTGATAGTGCTTTTGTCCTGTTGACCTTAGCCTGTAATCCCCAATCCAAAGACGAGCAATTCTTAATTCTTTCTAAGGTAGTGGGTACAATAAAGGTAAGTAGACATAGACTCTGATTAACTTTTCAGCAATGGTGGTGTAAGTTCTGACTGTTCATTAATGAGCCTGTTCTGTGTAAGCCCCATCCTGATACAGCCCCAGGAGCCTGCACCTTTGAATGTTCCCCTTCTGACCCCAGGAGCAATGGCAGAGGCAATGGAGGGAGCCATGCCCCAGGAGGGATGGCTGCCAGAGCAGAAAGGGCTTTGTGGTCAGAATGAAGTTAGACGAGGCTTACTGTTCAGACCAGGCTTTTGGCCCAGCCCAACTCTTGAGTTTTCTCCCATTAGCACTGTGTTCTGTTAAAGAGAGAACCAGTAATAAACCCACTGTATGGCAGGAAGGGTTCGGAGATGGAGACAATGTCCCAAGTGCTGGATTTTTGCAGTCTGTTACTAGAACTAAACTTGCCGATGACTAAAAGGAAAGCAATTGGCATGCTAAATGAAAAGTCACTTCTGCCTATGGCTGCCGTAGCCCTGTGTAATAAAATGGGTTCAAAGCAAGCCCAAAAGGAAAAAATCCTTATTAATAGAGCCCTCATTCCATGAAACGTTTCAGAGAGCTTAGGTAACTGCAGAATGCGTAAGAACTCTTTTCCCTATTGTTGCAGTGAAGCGTGAAACGCAAGACCCTCCACCACCTGAATAAGACTCTCTGAAGAAAGATGTCTTGCATCTTCTACAAGACATTAAACTTGTATAAATCCGGATTAAAGTCTGGAGGAAGTGACAAATGAATTACTTTTAAAACTATGGTGACAAATGGAAAGCTATGACATGTATTTCAACACTTGCTGAGTGTTTGGATAAGGCCACTCGTTCCTATGACATGTCTAGCAAGTAAAAGAATTTCCATTTATTTTGCAAAATTTTTTAATTAGCTCCCCATTTTATACTAGAACGAAAGCCCAGCCCAGGTCCCTGGTGTAGGATTGTGGTTCATTCATTCCTGTGGAATACAGACATTATCTGATGTGGTTGTATGTTCTCTAGTTCCATAATGTATGTTTATTTCTCTCAAAAGGTTAATTCTATTTGAAGTGGAGGGGTGCTGCCTTGGGATCAAGTCAGACTGATGCTGAGCAGTGTATCCTAATGTCTAACTGGGGAATGAAGCATCTAGTTCCAGTACAGGTGACCTATGAGCACTGTGCGAGCTTGTTAGAACCTACCACCCAACTTAACGCCCCTACACACCAGCCGCTGCAGTCACAACTCTGCTCAGAACACAAGGGTTAACTGTGCTCTAAGGGATGGTCAATGCTTTGTAACAGAAGACATTCTTTAAGCTTTTTATATTTTTGTATATACCCTTTAATAAAAGCCAAGTAGCTCAATAGAAGAGAATCCATTTTCTCTGCTCTGCAAGTTTCTGACAATAAAATGTTCTTGGAACCTTCCTTTAATTGACATGAGAGGAAAAAAACCCACCCATTTTGTAACTGTTTCCAGAGACCACCAGTTGAAGGTGTTAGGCCCTTACACTGCACTTCCACTCCAGAGGTCTGCGTGGTGGTATAACCTCTTCCAGAGTCTTTTGTTTGTATAGCAAAAACCCTCTTGAAACCATTCAGTTAATATGGTGAAATACCCATTTGTTCTAGATCTACTGTAGTTGTGGAACTGTAACTGTCTGTGAATCAGCACACACCACCTCTGTGTTACCAACTTGTGAATTTTGTTTTGCCTTCCAATAAACACATTTTTTTTTATTAAATAAAAATAAAATGGTGGCTCGTATTTCAGTCAGTGGATTCCTGTCCATTGGCTATAAGCCTGCCTTGTAGTGAATTTGTCTTCAGTTTGTGTGTGTTTGGTCTTGTAGTAATCTGACAAGGCTAATTCTACAGAAACATTGTATGGCACTTAAGTCAGGATATGGTATTTCTCTACTATGCTCTCTTCCTTGGGTGCTGTAATACAGACTTTTACTTCTACCATGATCACAGGATAAAGTGCATGCTGTGCTATCAGACTTACCACACTCCTGGAGAGAAGTGAGCACTTAGTTTTGGTTTTGCTGAACTCTGACATAGTCTGGCTGAAGGTTCCTGCCTGTCCCTGTATCACCTACGTGAGTAAAAACATCAGATCTATGAAAATAACTTATGTACAATAACATCTAAAGCAAGCTCTGGCAGGCTTTGTACTAACTGTGTGAGTTGGAAGGGTTTCTTGTGGCAGCTGGAGATCTGTAAATACAAATTTTACTCCATGTTTGAAGAATCAAAGCAGTTTTTCCTCCTGTGCTTTCTGAACTTCTTCACGTGCTTGCTCAAGTGTTAGAGGTGGGGATTTGTGATTCTTGATGTACTGCAAAAAACAGAACCCAACAACAGTTTCTTACTAGATCTTCATGTCAAGATCCCTGCACTTTCCTATACTAGCAGCAGAAATTGACCCTTCTGTTGCTGCATTAGGAAGAGCCTCATTAATTTGAGAACAGCTAAATGCTGCACCTGAAAAGCTGCTTTCAAAATGATGGCCTCCACTAAGCCTTCAGTCTTTTTTTTATTATATAAACTGTTAATTTGTTGGTAATATAGGTACAGGAATTATAGTAGTATTCTTCTATGAAGGAATTTTATCTGATTAATAGTATGCAAAGAAAATCTGTTTGCTGCAAATACTAGAAGCACTGACTCTGGTCTATCATAAATACCTCTTTAGCCTCTTCCAGGGTATGGTAGTGGAACTTCTCATTCTCTAATGACTCCACGAGTGATATGTGAAGGTGATGAATGTTCTCTACAAACTGCTGAGTCAGCATCAAGTGCTGTTTCAACATGGTGTTTAAAGCAAGGGCTGACGGGCTGTATGCTGTCAAGGCTGTAAGACATGGAGCGTGTACACGTTAGTGATACATACAGTCAATAGTAAGGGCTGAACAATTCAAGCAGAGGTTAAATGCATAAAATACAGTAACATAATAGTAAGAAATATGGTTTTCAGTACCTTCTACTGCATCCATGCTGATGACATGACTGGCAATAGGTATGGGATCGACGTAACTGTTTCCTACAGGTGGGTCAAGTACTGCTGAGGTGTTTGCTGTGTATTGGATAAAATCACAATTACTGGGGGTTGGAGGTTTAGCACTAGAACTTGGTTCATCTTCAGAAGTCTCTTGGGCCATCAGCTGCTGTAGAACTGCCATAGAGCCTAACAGGGAATTCTGTCAGCAAAAAATAAATGCTAAAATAGTTCTAGAATCCCCCCAGCCACCCCACAGAACATCTATGAGTGTTATTCAGGTTATTGTGAGTTCTGTTGCTAACACCAGCTCATCCACCCAGAGTTCCTCTTGGGTTTGGTTTCTTTCATAGCAAAAACCAGTTCAGAGTTCATTAATCTGTTGTCCAATCCCCATCTTCCCTACAGACAGCAGATTCAAGCATCAGGCTTTAGGAAGTGTTTAAGTTCATGTCAGCTGGGGTAGCTAGTACTGAACGCAAGAACTCTTAGCAAGGCATATAAAACCTACAAATGTAAAGCCTAAATTGGGCAATATCTTGTGAACCTACCCTTTGGCCAGCAGTAGGTGAACAGAGGATCCGTTGTCTGAACTGCAGTTTCTCTGACAGTCACTCTGTGTACCTGCTCCTGCCGCGCTCTGGGAAGTCGAGGTGACGATGCTGAAGATGGGTGTTTTCCAGATGATGTGCAGCTCTCCGAGTGTTCCTCTGATGTTTTTGCTACAGATTCCCTGTCTGTTGTGGATGGAGACCTTTCAAAGTCTTCAGAATACTCTGAATTAATAGTTCTGTCATCATGATCAAGATAATCCTGTTTCTGTCTAGGGAAATCTGCAGAAACTCCACTTAAATGCCCGGAGAGTCCAGCTTCAGTCACAGTTTTTTCAACATCCTCATCAGAAGGATCCTTCACAGCAGTTACTGCACTTGTCATTCTAAGAGAACCCTGGCCCTTTTCCACCAGGAATGTATCTTTTTTTGGCTTTCTGTTTGGTTCCTGAGTAATTTGCATGTGTGTCCCCTATAAAACAAACCAGCTGTATGTTAGGAGAAGCAAGAAAATATGACCTAGACTATACCTCCATTATTCTTCATCTGTTCTGCTGCACATTGCTGAGAGTCAGTAACTGAGAGTTTCTGCTTTATTAGGAAAGTAAAATGTCACTTTTCTGTGTCACCTTGCAAGCTGTGCAGTGCTGTTACACTGAGTAAGGAAATGCAGATGCTAAGAAATGAACTTGGTCAGGTTTCAGTAAAATCTTGCTCTAACCTTTACCTGCCCACCTCACCTTATGAGCAGAAGAGCAGTGTTTATTCTAGAATACCCACCAAAGAAAGGCAGAAATGTGTGCTAGTAGGGAAGTCCTACTTACTTGCTGCTTTAATTCTGCTGCCTCACTGGTGATATTTGGTGCCAAATCATCAAGGCTCAGGATATTCAGTCTGAAGTCTGAAATCAAATTACATATTGTCAGGAGAATTTGCATGAAAATTGCAGTACACTTTCCCTTAAGCAAGAAAATGGAAAAAATAAACCATTACTACATCCTACTTTGAAGTGTAATATTAAAACGGAATAGCAATCACTCTAAAACTTTAACTTAGTTTTGAAAAACTAAGAAAAAAGAAACAGATCAACATAATTCCTTTGGTGAAGCCTTGGTTTATGTAGAATTACACCAGTAAATCCTTTCAAAGTGAGTCTTTGCCCATGCTCATTAGTCAATTTAGCAGTAGTTAGTACAATTCATGCCAAGTCTACTGAGACAGTATGTTAGAAACCTTACCATCTGAGCTGCTGTTAGCTGAATCTTCTGCATCAGCTGCTCTAGAAAACAAGTCATCTAATGAAGAGATTTCACTTCTGTCACTTTCTAGGGATCTTTGGCTTTGCTTGGTGTAGCCTGTTCTAGGCAGAGTAATCTTTACAGTATTGCCTTTCATGGAAGATGACAGCGACAGAGATCTCGCGTTATGTCGTAGAGACGTGCTTCTGGGTGGTGAACCAGCTCTACTCTCCGAGTACTTGCTGTGAAGACAAGATGCTTTAGATCCCTCTGCCACTGAAATTTCCTTAGGAGATGGAGGAGGCATTCCTGATGAAACTGGAATCTTCTTCTTTTGAAGAACATGCAAAACAGATTTATGTGTTACTTCATTTATTATGTGTAGATAACTAAAAAGGAAAATAGATTATAATGGTAAAAATAGAGCCATTTTAAGATGTGAATTGAAGCTAAATCAGATCATGACCAAGTCACAAATGCAAAATTAAGATTTCATACCTGGTGTTACCTAAATAAAAAGTGACATACCAATTAAAACAATCCCATAAAAGCATAAATAAAAAATCCATAATCCAGCTAAGTCTGTATTTACCTTTGGACCCCATTTAGAATCACTTGCAACAACCCTCTGATTCTCATTTACACTTGAACACTCCATCAATTCTCTCATTTCCTCTTCATCGCTATCCAAACCAAGTTGTTGTTTAACGTTCTTTTTAGGGCTTTGGATGCTTTCCTCTTCCTTAGAACAGGCATTACGGAGGGTCATATATCCACTGGCAGTAGCATGATTCTTTAGGTATCTCTTGCCCCTTGCACTGGGTTTGTGACTGGAAGCAGAGGAGAGGGACTCCTCATCCAAAGGCTTCTGGCCCAAGTCGGTGACTTGCAATTCCAGCTGTTTCTTCCGATTCATGATTTTGCTTTCCAGTTGCGCCACTCTGCTCAGCGCTGAGCTTGACCGTGTGTGGGAAGCGCTTCCCAGAGGGTTCTTTGCTACAAGGCTGTTTCCAGCCAGCAGAGCGCTTCCTGACATCCGGCGCCACTGGTTTCCATGCGTGTCTTCACTGCGCAGCCCAAGCCTGCTGGGGCAGAGCTGTGCTCTCCCAGTTTTCTCTGGGTCAGCCGCAGAGAAGTCGCCACAGGAGCGCGGCTGGAGGCTGAGGGTAGCGGTGATGAGCCTTCGGGGGTCATCGTGGTGTCTCTGCAAGAAGAGGATACAAAGATCCCTCAGGGGCGGAGGCAGGCGGCATGGTTAAAATCACAGAAGCAACCAGGTTGGAAAAGACCTTTAAGATCACCAAATCCAACCTCAAGACCCCAAGCCACAGCACTGAGCCCTCGTCTCCATGCTGTGTGAACACTTGCAGGGACGGTGACTGCAGCCCTGCCCTGGGCAGCCTGTTCCAATGCCTGAGCACCCCCTGGGGAAGGAATTGTTCCTCAGCTCCATCTAAACCTGCCCTGGTGCAGCTTGAGGCCGTTTCCTCTCGTCCTGTCACTCGTTACTTGGTAGCAGAAACTGACCTCACCTCACTACAACCTCCTTTCAGGTACTTATAAAGAGCTGGTTCCGCGCCCACCTCCCCTGCCCGAGCAGACCCTCCCGCCCCCTACAGCCGGGGCCCTTCCCACATCGACCCGGACCCCGAGGCTGCCCAGGTACGGACTGAGCGCGGGGTCGCAGAGGCCGGGCCGGGAGCTGCCGCCTCACCTGCCCGCCGCCCGCGGGGGCCAGCTGCACCCGAGGGATCGCAGCCATCCCGAGGCCGGCCTGAGACGGCGGAAGCACCGGCTCCTCCAGGCCGAGGCTGGGCCGTATCCTAGAGACCGCGACACCCAAACATACCGCCCCTTCATTGGCTCTGCGGAGACATACCCAGCCAATCCCAAGAAGGGATACTACGTTCATGACAGCGCCGACTACAAGCCCCGAAATGCACTTCGTTATGTGAAACGTCACGAGGGCGTTAAGCCAATCCTATCCCGGTTTAAAACACGTTAAGGAGAGCGCTGCCAATCAGAGCCCGCCATGGGAACGGCGTGGCCGCTGAGGCGCGAAGCTGCTGGCAGCTGCGGTGTGAGGGCGGCGGTCATGGCGGCGGCGCTGAGGGGGTGCCGGCGGGCAGTGCCGTTTATCGCTGTGCTGAAGCTGCTCCTGCTCCTTGGGACTGCAGTGGGCTCTGCCCGGGCCACGGTGTATTTCCGGGAGCAGTTTCTGGATGGAGGTTGGGCGAAGGCAGGAGGTTAAAGGGTAGAGGGGGCGGTGGGGCAGCTGCCGGTAATAACGGCTGTGTGTACGCTGATGGGGAGGGAGCTTCCCCCGCCCCTTACTGTACTGACCCTGTTCATGTGTTGTTGCTGGTGCTGACTGCATGGGACAGCCAAGTGGAAGAAGAGGTGGATGAATTCTGAGTACAAACCAGACTTTGGGAAGTTTAATCTCACTGCAGGGAAGTTTTATGGAGATCCAGTGCTAGATAAAGGTATTTGAGTTTCATTCAAAATATGCCATGGGAGAAATCTCTGGAATCAAGGATATCACAGAATCCCAGCCTGGTTTGGGTTGAAGGGACCTTAGAGCTCCTCCAGCTCCAACCCCTGCCACAGGCAGGGACCCCTTCCACTGGAGCAGCTTGCTCCAAGCCCCTGTGTCCAACCTGGCCTTGAGCACTGCCAGGGATGGGGCAGCCACAGCTTCTCTGGGCACCCTGTGCCAGCGCCTCAGCACCCTCCCAGGGAAGAGCTTCTGCCTAAGAGCTCAGCTCAGTCTCCCCTCGGGCAAGTTCAAGCCATTCCCCTTGGCCTGTCCCTACAGGCCCTTGTCCAAAGCCCCTCTCCAGGTTTCCTGCAGCCCCTTTAGGCACTGGGAGCTGCGCTAAGGTTTCCCTGGAGCCTTCTGTTCTCCAAGTTGAGCAACCCCTTTGTATCTATTTACATATTTGCCTTTATAGGTGTGCCATGCATGGCAATAAAATTATTTTTTTCTTTGCAAATGTGGAAAAAATGTAAGTTTGACTTACTACAGTAATGTATTTGCAGGTCTACAAACTACTGAAAACTCTAAGTTTTATGCTATCTCATCACGATTTAAACCATTCAGTAACAAAGGGAAGACTCTGGTCATCCAGTACACAGTGAAACATGAGCAGAAGATAGATTGTGGTGGGGGGTATGTTAAGATTTTTCCCTCAAACTTGGACCAGAAGAAGCTCAGCGGAGATTCACATTATTACATCATGTTTGGTGAGTTTAGAGTTATTACTTCATTACTAAAATACTGTCACTGCTGTTGTGCAGTTCTTCTAAAGATGGTTGTGGAAATGGAGGAAAAAATTGTAGAGGAAGGCTGTCTTAAAAAAATCAGGATGTTGTGACTGTAAGGGGTTAGCTCTTCCATGCTTGAGAGATCTCTAATATCAAAATACATATTAATGCAACCATTGTAAATCACATATGGCTGCAAACCTTCTGAGCTGATTTGAAGACATAAGTGAAAATGATTAGACTGAGCTGAGAATAAAAGGAGTTGTTCAGCAGGATTTAAGACCTTTAACTAAAACATCCTGTAGGCCATTATCTGCTCTTATTTACATATATGTAGTTTCAAGTGACTTAGTGAAATTTGTACATTATGGATCTGATATTATTATATAGTCCAACTGAATATGTCCAACTGAAATGTGACATTATGGATCTGATATTATTATATAGTTATTCACCTTGTTCCATAGATAATCTTTATTTTGCCTGGATTTGTGCTTTATGGAATGGAATACATCAAAATATGTGGGATGGGACATATCTAGCATTATTATGAGGAAAAGGGAAACAATCTGTATTTTCTTGCAGAGAATGTAATGTAATGCATGTAATCTCTTTATAGGGCCAGATATTTGTGGATCTGATACAAAGAAAGTCCATGTTATTTTAAATTACAAGAATAAACCCCATCCAATCAAGAAACTGATCAGATGCAAGGTAAATACACATTTCAAGGATATATAAATGTTAAAATAAGCAAATTACAGGGATATGAGCATGAAAAAACAAAAAGCAACTATTGCAAACATGTAATACCTTTTGAGTTCCATCATATCTTAAATCATATTAATTTTGGGACTTAAGATATTTCTTAGTTGATAATATGTTTGCAGCTTAATTATTGCATTTCTAACACCTACTACTGATACAGGATGGAACAAGGTTGCAAGAGTGCTGTATGTTATAAAAAACTGTATATCACTGAGTGTTTTAACTGCAACTTTAATTCCACATTTCCTAGAAAGAGGGCCCTTTCCACTGACATGTAGACACTTTGGGAATGCAGTGTTTTTTCTTACTACTCTTTATGAAAAGTCCATTAGAACTTAGGAGTATATTTCTGGTGTGAGGCAATTCCCAAGATCTGTATTTAAGGTTCTTAACAAATGTTCTTTCTTTAAAAATTGTGTTCTTTTAAACCCAGGTTGATGGCTATACCCATCTCTATACTTTGATTATAAGGCCAGATCAGACTTACAAGGTAAAAATTGATAATGAAATGGTTGCATCTGGCAACTTAGAAGATGATTTAGATTTTTTGCCACCCAAGAAAATTAACGATCCAACAGTGAAGAAACCAGTGGACTGGGATGATAGAATCGAAATTGATGATCCAAACGATGTCAAACCTGAGGTAATTTGCTCTCCTTATTCTGCATTGCTGGATGATTTCATTTGTACTGCCTGCGTGTTTGATATAGTTGAACTGTGCACTAATTTTGCTTTCTTAATCTTTTTAAAGGATTGGGATGAGCCTGAATACATCATGGACATGAGGGCTGAGAAGCCTGGAGATTGGGATGATGTTGTGAATGGAGAATGGCATTATCCTAGGGTCAAGAACCCTCTATACAGAGTATAAATAATTTTGTAATCCTAGCTACATATAACACTTTAAGCAACTTTTATTTGTCTGACTTAATTCAGAACATGTGGTTTATCCTAGGGGGAATGGAAACCAAGGCAGATTGATAACCCAAATTATAGAGGAGTTTGGCCTCACCCACAGATTGACAATCCAAATTATTCACCAGACTACAGCATCTACATCTTTGAAAATATTAGTGTCATTGGACTTGATATCTGGCAGGTGAGATGCCTATAGTGAAAATTAAAGCAACTTTTCTTTCACTGAATATATACCAACCTGTTTATCGTAGAATCATATAAGAATTATCTATTGCTTTTGGATCTGAGGGACCTAAGTCTTTACCTTACTTTTATGTAAATATGTGTACAGAATTGAAAAACCTGTAAAATACACTGATCTTCTGTTGTAGTTATTCTTTGGATGATAATCATCCACAGGGAAGTGAGGGGCCTAAAATAATTGGTGTGAATACTGTGAAGTCTGGCTTATTCCACCTGACTTGAGGTCCACAACTGAAGCTTCAAGCAGCTCAGTTATTCCTTTTTTCTTTTCCCTATTCCTTCAAAGGTGAGAGCTGGCACAATTTTTGACAACTTCTTGATAACAGATGATGAGGAATATGCAGAAGACTTTGGTGATGAAACATGGGGAGAAACAAAGGTAACACAAACTTCTTGTTTCTGTTTTGGTTCTGTATGACCACATTTGAAAAATGCCCTGTTGGGTCTGATCAAGAACCTCTCGGTGCCTAAAAATGACATCTGAATATTAGGGTCCTGAAAAGGAAATGAACATAAAGCAGACTGAGGAAGAGCAGGCGAGAGAAAGGGCTATGGAAGAAGAGTACTTTAAGCAACAGTTTAAGAAGAAGCTAGAGAGAAAAATACAATCTGGAAGGGACAGAGCAGAGAAGAACACTGACACCAAGGCAGAGCTTTAATTGGCATTTGAAAGAAGTTGATATTAAGAAGTTCACTTAAGTCACTTAGGAATGTTTTCACTGAAGGATTTTGATGTTTGTTAACCGTGCGTCGAAATTCGCACCAGTGGAGTTGTAGCAAAACAGGGTTCTTACAAAAAATTAGCATTGAATTTTGTTACCATTTTCCATTTAATGAAAAATACTACAACAGAGTTAAATTATCTATATAAAAGGTTAATTTTTTTCTTCTTAACTGCTTTTCTTTACACTGCTAAAATATGTTAGAAACACCTGTAATAAAGCACTGTGTTTTGGAACGGAGTTACATGTTAGTGGTTTCATATGAAATGTAAAATTCATGCTCATTTTTTGTTCAGGAGATACCCTCATAACCTTTTTAGGGTATTCATTAGAGGGTTCAGCGTGTCAACTGCGTGAAGCGTGTTTCACAGCATACTTCAGCCTAAGGAGGAGATCAGCTCTGCTGAGCTGCTGCAGTCATTGTGCGCCTGTCAGAGTTTAACCCGTCACCACAGCTGCGAATGCACCGTGGCTGCTCTGCATGGCTTATCCGCTGGCAGAATGTTCTAGTGCTCTGTGGTGGTGTGGGGCTGAGTGACAACAGGCTGTCCATCCACAAATCTGTCCTTAGGAGTTCAAATGTGTTCAGACAACTTGTGTACTTCCCCCCAGTTAGGGTGGTGAGGCAGGAAGTTGAAACCATGTGTCCTTTTCTGGCTGACCTGCCCTGTTACTCTTGTAACTTGTTCAGTCACTTCCTTCATCCCTTCTCAGGCCCTCCTGCTCTTTTACATTTCCTTTTCCTCCCCTATGTACTAATGCTATAGATTTTGCAAAAACTGAGGCCAGGCTTCCAAAGCCCGTAGTTTTGCGTTTACCTCTGGGCTGAGCGAAGTTGTGTGGGGTAAGGAGATAAGGAGTGGGAGGATCTGTAAAAGCCCAACTGAAGCTGGGTGGTTCTTGCCTGTGGAGTGACTGAGGCCAAATTCTTTCCCTTCTGCTTGTCGGAGGGCTGTCCCCTGTACAACAGTATCAGTGATGCTATGGGTTGAAGAACTTCGACAGCTATTGAAATACACTGCAGTGGCAGTTGCCTTGTACTTGTTTTTCCCTGAACAAATTCCCCATGATTTATTTCTCATACAGCCAGTGATTTGTACACTGCTGTAAATGGGTTAAAACTTAAACAGGGAAGTTTAGATTGGATATAGGAGGAAATTCTTTCCTATTAGGGTGGTGAGGCACTGGAATGGGTTGCCCAGGGAGGCTGTGAATGCTCCATCCCTGGCAGTGTTCAAGGCCAGGTTGGACGAAGCCTTGGGTGAGATGGTTTGGTGTGAGGTGTCCCTGCCCATGGCAGGGGGGTTGAAACTGGATGATCTTAAGGTCCTTTCCAACCCAAACTATTCTATGATTTCTGCATTTTGTTCTATTTGATGCTAAAAATGCGATCATAGACCGGAGGGATCTTAGTTTGAAGTCCGTTTTGACAAGGTTGACTGAAGTAAAATAACTGGGTTTATCCAGGAGCAAGCTGGATGCAAGTCCATTAGTTACCTGGAAGAACGTTCCACAGGGTCGCCCCTAGACCTACTTTGTCCACGCCGTAGGTAGGTCACCGCCAGGCAGCCGGAGCAGCGCCGTGCCGGGGAGCGGGGAGGCTGCGGGAGGCAGGGGCTGAGCTGCAGCCGGACGGAGCCGCGGGCGCAGCCCCGGCTTGGCGGGGTGGGGAGCGGCTGCCGGGCATAGATAAAGCCGCGCTCGCTTTGTGCCTAGGGCAGGAGAGCCCCCGGAGCCACGCGAGGAGCTGCAGGGGCCCAGCAGGCCCCAGCCCGGGCCGCGCGGTGCCAGGCGCGGCCGGGGCCTCCCGCCGCCGCTCGCCCCGCCTCCCCCCACCCCTCCCGCCCCGGCCGCTGCCCGAATCAGTGGGAGGAAGATGGCGGCGCTCATCCCCCTCAGCCAGCAGGTAACCGGCCCCACCGGACGCTGCCGCAGGGGGCGGCTGAGGGGGGGACCCGGCCCTCCGACCCCGGCGGTTGAGCTCCGATCGAGGAACGGGGACCGCGCCCGCCCCGGCGCGTTCCCCTCCCGCAGGCGGGTGCAGCCGGGGCCGGGTCGGAGCTGGGGCACAGGCCCTGCCTCTCCCCGCAGCGGGGGGGTGGCTCGGTGCGCGGCGGGAGAGGGTCGGTGCGCGGCGGGGAGCGGGCCCCGGGCTGGGGCGAGCAGCCCCCGACTGTCCCCCGCTGTCGGGCCGGGGCTGGGCGCCGGCTGGTTCTGGAGGGGCACAAAAGGCGCTGGCGCCCTCCCCTCATGGAGGCCCCGGAGCTGCCCCCCGGGGAGGGGCAGGGCAGCGGCGAGGCTCTCGAATCGCTTCCCCTCCCCGAGCTGCCGCTGCCGGGTTCGAGCTGCGGGGTTCCCGCTGGTGGTGGTCGGAGGTCCGGGGCTGGGCGGCAGGAGGGTGGGCTGGCTGGCTGCTGAGCCCCCGCCGTTGGCCTGCTCGTCACCCTGCCTGTAACACGGGGTTAAGGCCGTCTTTAGCTGTCATGACTGGGCTTAATGTTTGGGAGGCGGAGGAGCAGCGCGGGCACACCAGCGGAGGAGCCGGTGGGGAGGAATGGGAAGGAGGCTGTCAGCAGACAGCAGGAGGATGAGGCTTCTGCAGGGAAGACCCTGAACCTTGGAGCTCTCCCGCAGGGAGGGCGGCATGCCTCCGGGAGAGGCTGTCCTGAGCTCTGGTTTCATGTTTGGAATCCTTGGGGAGGTGGTTGTTGTTGTTACAAGGCTTCTGATTGATTTCGCACGCAAATAATCTAAACCTGACCAGTGTGATCACTGTTCGTTCCTGCTTTATGCTCCTGTGAAGACAGTTAGCTTACTTGTTTCCTTTGAAACAAAAGCAGCAGCACCTCTCCATCCCCCAGTCCCTTGAGATGAAAACTGTTTTCTCCACTGTGGCTAGGCCAGTCAGGAATTCAGAACAACTGCTCCTGGTAGCTGGGATCATTTAAATCTATTTCCTTTTAATAATGGACTTTTATTTGTGATACTCTGAGAGTTTATCTTTCAGTGGAGTTATGTGATGCTTGGGCAATATGTAATTTGTCTTATTAAGAGAGCGCACTGCATTCTAGCTTCTGAATAGCAGTAAGAATCCTGATTAGCATCTGTTGAATTAACACGTTCAGAAATGTCTGAAAACATCCATGCAAACTGTTATCCAAAGTTCTCAAGTGAAGTGATGTGGTGCGCAATATATATGTGACATGAACTGTGGACTGGAAAGAGTTCTGTTGTTGTGGAACTGCAAGAGTACATTGGTAAAAATATATCCAACATCTCTCATGCTGGCATCCTGCTCCTGTGTTGTTTAAATTCCAGTTGATGCTTGAGAGCCTGGCACCAATGGTATTTTCTTTTGTATGACATGTTGAGGGAAAAAGGACCACATTCTATGAATGTGTTAATTATTTTGACCTATTATTTTCCAGCTGATTCAATGGAAGCATTCTAGCCTTAAAACTTCTTTTACTATATTGAACTGTCAAGAATAACCTAGTGATAATAAGGGCAGTAAGCAGGATTTCCCTGGAAATTGATGAACTTCCTCTTTTAATAGCCTCAAATTCATGATTCCTGTAGAGAGCTGTGCTAGTTATAATACATGCCAGAAATGGTATTAAAAGGAGTAGGAGAGGTTATGTGTGCTGTAACGTTGGAGTATATTCACTCAGAAAGATATAAAATAAGACTATTGATATCAACATGTTAGGGTTATAGTCAGTACAGGTAATTCAAGAGTGTGAAAGCGCTCAATGGTATTTGTTCTCATAAATGAATTTTATTACTCTTCTATTCCTCTATGAGGTTACGTTTTTATTATGTTCTTATGAATGAGAATTTAGATGTCTAACAGTTTGCAAACTGTTTAACTTTTCAGCTCTTTATGCATAAAACCAGTTGAAGAGCAAGCGTGTAAGATCAGTTCTTGGAGTTAGGTCCCGTTTCAGTTGTTGTTGTGCCTTTGATAACTTTATTTCCTTGAATATTTGTTCACCTTATCAGTGGTCTTTCCGCTGTGCCAGGCATGTTCACCCTACAGCCGTTGGAGGTTATGGAGTGTTATGTTAGAGGTATTGGGGCAGCACAGATCACTTGGTAGCTCAGTCTCTGAGACAACTCAGGATACTCAGCAGGTAGAGTAAGGGCAAAAGTAATCTGAGGGCAGCAGCCAACTTATTTTTGCTCTCATCTTTGTGGAACACTGTGTTTTTCCCCCTTTCACAGTACCTATTTTCATCCATCATAGGATGTGACAAGAGTGGCTGAGAGAAAATTGTGAAACAGGAGCACACCAAGGAAAATAATTCATCTGATGCAATGTTCTTTGTGGTCCTGAGGTGACCTCAGGAAAGAGGGCTGGTAGGAACTAACTTTATCAGCTGCTCTGGTGGCAGCATCTTACGCCTGCCTTTTCCCCAGATCTGCATTAAAGGACATGGAGTTGTATCTCTGTGGGTACTGCGCACCACAAATGCAGCATAGCAGACCTGCTGTGAGAGTGCAAGTTCAAGACTCGAACTTCAGATCTGTATAGGAAATCAACTTAGAGGTCAAACAACAAGGAACCAGGGTTCTGAAGTGTGTCTTTGCAGGACAGTATAGAGTGTTGCTCATCAATGATGTTTTGGTGTGATGGAGTAGGTATAGAAACCAGAGGGTTGTTAAACTGAACTGCTGTGTAACAGGTTATAGCCTTTGACCACTCATCAACTACAGACTCTTCAAAATGTTTGTCTCTGCCAGCACTGACAGAATCTTGTGTGGGTTCTTCGTCAGCAGATGTCATCCAGTTACAGAATGCTCTTGAATGATAGTGCTGGAGTCGCACATGGTGACGGGTGGGCAGGCAGCTATTTTTATCACTTGGGCCCATTTTGTCTGGTCTGCTTCATCACAGAGATGCAGTCATTTAGGTAAATCGGTCAGAGAGGCTTCATCATTGTCAAACACTGAGTATCGAGTGAGGAAGTGCTTTCCAGCAGCACTTGCGTGAATATATTGCTGTAGTAGAAACTTCACGGCATTTAAACACATCACCCTGGATTCCTGCCACCTCTGTCAGGTAAGTCAGCTGTATGTCACAGCTGACAGCATTGAATGAGGATGACAAGAATGCCTGGTGATGCAATGAGATCATTCAGTACTGTTAATGGAGTGGTATCTTGGTACGAATCCAGTCTCTGCGTGCTCTCGGATACTCACAAAACAGTCACAAAAGTTTTTAGCTGGTCTTTGGCTAGCTTCTCTCAGCTTTCTGGCAAACAAGAGATATATAGTTTGGCTAAAACATACTAGGTTTTCTTCAGAGTTGGATATACTATTTCCTACTTCCACCTTTTCTCTGCATGATGTGTTTCCTGGTCTGGATAGGAACTCAGTGCTTATCTATGGTGATCATTTACAAGCCAGCAAAAAGATGAGTCAGGTTTATGAGTTCTCGTCACTGCTTGCTGCTTCTGAACTGTCCATCTTCTGGAAAAGCACGAGTTTCTAGAGGGTACTGATTGATGTTGGAGAATGCAGTGGCTTGTTTTGTTGATGGGTATAAGTAAATTTAAGATGTTTAGGAAACTCTTCTGAAAATGCATGTTTTTTCTAGCCAAGTAGAACTTTTGATCTTCAAAGAGTTGGTGTTTGCCTGTGTTTGGTTAATAGGGGTTAGTTATTTTGGATAGCACATTAAGATTTAGCATGTTCATTGTAAACTTACGGAAAGATTCCCTTTGTGTAAAATAAAATGTCATGCTCTGCATTGGTCTTTTATTTCATCATATTTCTGTCTCCCTTCCCCTCAGTGTAGGCAGAATATCTGAAAATCCATGTGGATGACCATTTGGGAGATGACATACCATTTGTAGGAATTAGTGCAGAGTAGTAGTTCGTCAGGTGTCTGACTTATGTCCTGTAGGTGGAGAGTAGTTGTCCCGAGCAGTTTCAACATCCCTGCATCTTGCTTGTTCACCTGTGTTTGTTTATTGGGTTGTTTGCCTGGGTTTTAAGGCCTTTGGTTGCTCTAGGGGGTGACTTGTTTGAGATGGGATTGTAGCGTTTTTGCTCTTGGCATCGAGGCTGGAGAGCAGTGTGGAGGTAGAACCTGTGTGTGGCTACAGCTCCTGTGCAGTTGTAGGAGGCAAGTGAGAAGATGGGTGTCAGGCTTCTGCCTTTCTTGGCATTGTTGTTCTCTTTTGCTTGGAACATTATGAAGAGGGAAAAGGAATCTGCTTGTTTAGTATCCCAGAAAGGCAGGGCCTAGCTTTGTGTCTGCTGCTTTGGTGTAATGCAGAGTAATCCTCAAAAAACATTGTCAGGGAATTGTGACATCCCTTAACTAACCATTCATTCTATTATGGTGTTTTTATTGTTTTAGTTTAAGATCCTGGTCCTGGAAATATATAAACACAGGCGTATTTTGATACCAGAGCTCTGTCTGTGTGTGTGTAATTGCCTGCTGAAAATACTCCATAAGTATAGGTACAACGCAGGAGATAAGTCAGCATTATGTTGAAATCTCTGCCTTTGTCGTGAGTAGTTCTCAAACTGTCATCTGAAATACCTTGGCAAATAGTTCAAAGGTGCTTTACAAAACCTTACTACCCTTTAGTGTTGTTCATTACAAATGCAGGTATGCTTGAATGCTGTTTAAGAGGTGACAGTAGTCTTTTGGTTGCAGGTTTTGAGGGATCACTGTTATCCACACTTAGATTTCAGGTGTCCAGTTAGGAACGCAGCAAATTAACATAACATTTTATGTTTGGAAGAATTAATACACAAAGTACTATACACTTCCCCCCCCATCAGTCCTGAAAGGTGACTTGTCTGTGACTGCAGTTTATTCTTTGTTTTCTTAACATCTCTCTTGTTTTTCAGTTTACTGGGAATCCATTATATGAAACTTACTACAAACAGGTAGGTTCTTTTAGAAAACTAAAGTGCCGTTTCCTCTTCCCCCAAATTTCCCTCTCTTTCCTTTCCCCATAGCAGTGCTAAGCTGCTGTAAATTCTCTCTGCTGAGTGCTAATGTGTGCTTGTGTAACTCCTTTTGACCTAGAGACAAGACATTTAATTTCTCGTCTCTGCTTTCATGACAGCCATGCTTCAATTGAATGTGAATTTTTATCTTTCAGGTAGATCCAGCATATACAGGCAGAGTTGGGGCAAATGAAGCTGCACTGTTCCTGAAAAAATCTGGTCTCTCTGATATTATCCTTGGAAAAGTAAGTTGAGGGAGTTAAATAGTGCTGTAATTATCCACACACTTGCTTGAGTGAAGCTAACATTGAGCAGAAGGGGTTTGCAGAAAGGAATTTGGTAGAACACTAATCAGAGCCATTCAACATTATGTAAACCGCAGATTGGTAATAGCTCCAAGGAATTGTTTTGAGTTTCTTAGGAATCTAAAAGGAAAAGATTGTCTTTTGTGTAACATTTTACTTGTTAACTTGGGAATTAGATAATTATATATCATAACTTGGAAGCTGCAACAAACACATCAGGGAGACATGCAGGATGAACTGCTAAGTTTTGTTTTAATACCACAATGGCTTTTATGTTGTATCCCCACAGATATGGGATTTGGCTGACCCAGAGGGTAAAGGATACTTAGATAAACAGGTAAATTAAATGTTCCTGCAGACCTCTTACATTGTCTTCCACAGATTAACCTTGTTTCAAGAAAATCCGGTTACCAGTAGGAGTTATTACCTATTTGTAGGTTTCTGTTTGCAAGGGGAGTTGGGTTTTTTGGTAGCACTGGTTACATCCAAATATATTGCTTAGTGAGGCTGCTGGAGCAGTTTGGATCTGATTTTCTGTCTCTCTTGTTTTCTAAATAATCCATATGGTGATATATAGATACATAGTCATAGGATCCCAAATACAAACTATGATTTTAAGGTCTGTTTTTTTAGAAGTCTTTTTTTTTGCATGAAAAAATACAACTAGCATCAGTAAAAATGGCTTGGAAGTTACTTGTAGATGAAATTGTTACTTGTAGGTGAATTTTTTTAAACACATTATTAGTTTTAAGAAAACTTGTTGCCATTTTTAATGTCAATAATTTGATTATGGGGAAGTCCTTAAAATGTACCTTTGAAGTTTTCTGCTCTGTGTTCCATGTTACTGCAAAGCTTTTCCTGAATCATCTTTAAAAACAGTGGGGTACTTGTCATTATGCAGTGGACTGAATGAGCCATACATCTGTTGTTTCTGTACTTTACTGAGTTGCACGTGTACAGTGTTAGTAAAAATCATTAATGGTTATTGGAGACTGATTTAGACTGGTTCCTTTTTTAACAGAAACCACTCATTTTTGTAGGGTTTCTATGTCGCATTGCGCCTTGTAGCATGTGCACAGAATGGCCATGATGTTAACCTGAGCAGTCTCAACTTGTCTGTGCCACCTCCTAAATTTGTAAGTAATATGCACCTAAATGTCTGTGTGTATTATAGGAGAACTAAGGCTTCAGTTGGAACACTGGAATAATCTTCTGTTTATAAATGCCAAACTGTTAACCTTAAGACCGTGGCTGCCATAGTCATGTCGCAGCAGAACTGCTGCTAGTTTAAATACAGTCAGCTTGCTCAGGAAGCTGGTGGAGCTAAACTCTACATTTATGAAAAAAGAAAAGGGGGGGAAGATCAATCTGGGGGTAGATTAACAGGAGTTTGTAGTAAAGGGCATGACGGCAGCTTTGCCTGTGTAGCTGTTGTGCTACCTCTGTCAGCTTGCTTTATTTCTGTGTTTGGGTACCTAATGCACCACATGTCCTTCTTGAAGTGCTGTGATAGTATAAATCAGTATGAGTTATTTTTTTATTTAGGTACATGTGCAGTCTTTTATGTTCATTTCAGTGCAGTTATGCCTCATGTCCATAAGCATCTCTTAAAGCAAGCAGTGAGGATTAGAGACAGAAGCGTAATTTATATGTATGTACATGTATAAATAAAAACTTCTTTGATTTTTAGCACGACACTAGCAGTCCTTTGCTGATCACCCCACCTTCAACAGAGACTCACTGGGCTGTTAGGGTAAGTGTAAAAGACAACACATTCCATCCATTCTTTAAAAGTAAATATTTCCTTTACCTGTAATTTTCCCAGTGAGAGTATACTGTAGCAAATAAACTTCCTATTTCAGAAGTCCTCCCTTTCTAATAACAGACTTTTGCACAATAGAGAACATTGAGCTGTAGCTTTATATTTGAAATAAGTATTAACCAAGCCTTTGGGAAGCCCTGGTGTGATGTTTCTAAGACACAATGAATTTTAATCTTCTGCCTGGATTTGCTCTGAAATCCTAGACACTTTCATATTTGTATAAAGGAGCCCCACTGAGAACAGCAAAGCATTTCACCAAATCCATCCTGAAGTATTAATTTAAAACTTGAGTTCATATGTTCTAATTAGTAGTCAATGATACACACAATGGATATCATCAGGGAAAAAAGGAGCTTTTCATACGTATGTGAGGATACTTGTATTTAGTTAATTTTTAAATGTGAGCAATTTCCAAAAGGTAGAAATTTAATAAAATAATTTTAATGCTGCCTTTTTTTTTTTTTTTTGCCTTTTTTGTTGTAGTTGCATGTTGCACTTTCAAGTGGGAAGCAAACTCTTGGGGAAGAATAGTGTTTAGCTCTACAGAGCTTGTCAAAGTTTGTTTAAAATCTGGTTAGCAGCGTTTTAATCAGAATGCATTGTCCTTTTAGAACACTATAGAAACACACCTTCCATGCTGCATGTTAAAATCTTTTAGCTGTCGTACCCTTAGCTTTGATTTCCAGCTCCATGGGTTTACATGTAAATACAGCATGGTGGCAGTTGCCAGAAAGCTTGGAAAGTTAGAATGAATACTTTACTGACCAGTCTTAATTTCTTGCAAGATCTCATTTTCAACACTCACACAGGCACACTTTTTTACTTATTCAGGCTATTTCTTACCAACTAGGTGGAAGAAAAAGCAAAGTTTGATGGTATTTTTGAAAGCCTTTTGCCAGTAAATGGTTTACTTTCAGGAGACAAAGTAAAACCAGTACTGATGAATTCAAAGCTACCTCTTGATATCCTAGGAAGGGTAAGTATGCTGTTTAGATTTAGCTATTCTCTATTTAGCTTCTTGCAGTTGCAATGTTAAATATTTAAATGTAATTTACCAACATGGATCAGGTTTTGGCTGTGGAATTATGTTGAGTGCATGCTATAATGCAAGAACAGTAAGTAGGTTTTGAAGTCTTCCACTTAGAAATAAGAATAACAGCATCAATTTGGGCCCTGGTGTAGGTTGGCTTCATTATCTCTGTATTCATTTTAAGAGCTGGAAATTTTTACTTAGGTTTTTTCAGAACAAGAAAAAGCTTTCTTAAACCATAATGGCTTTTATATCATATTCCACTGTTTTGTCATTTTTCCAAATACAAGGTAATAGACATACCGTTAAGTCTACCCACTGTTTGCAAAGGAGAACACTTTAAAACATCCTAGTTTATTGTAGCTGTCAAATTGTCAAGTAGTTTTCTTTTTTCATGTATATTTATAAATACTTCTGAGATGTGAGTTTAGTGCATCCACTGCATAGTTGCAAAGGAAGCAAACTTTAAAGTATTTTTTTGCGTCCATTTGAAGTATGTATTCTTTAGTGCTTTGCATATTGATAGGACTGAATACATTCTCTTTAAGAGCTGTATCTGTGTGTACTTTAATCTTCTCAGGAAGAGATGCCTCTTTCTCTGTATTATCTACAAAATCTAAATACAACTTGTTGTAATTCTGTACTTGAATATTGTGAAGTACTCGTCCTTGAAAGGCTTTGTATTTTATCTTGCTATTGTCATGCTAGAAATTTAGGAAGCTTTTTCCTGTTCCAGAAGAGTTGGCAGACGAGACAGGGGACTGAGGAAACGGGCAAAGGACTAATGAGCTAGCTTAAATTTGTACTGGGGTCCAAAGATAAAGCTGGGAGGAGAGTTCAGATGGTTGAGCCTTGGTCTTAATTCTCTGTCCACTCTGCTATACTGTCAACAAGTCATATTGATGATGAAACAGTGCTAGCTGATGGCTGAGTATTAGAGTACCCAAAGTTTTGTATCCTTCTAAATCTCCTGCAAGTTTTGTTGGCTGTACTTGACCTAATAATGAACTACAGTTGAGAGATGCTTAAATTCTCTGCTCTAAAAGATTCAGGGGGGTGGACAATTTTGTTTAGTTTTGCTTTTAACAAAAAATTAAGACTAAAAAATGAGGAATGCAATGCAAATTAGAAGCATATTGACTTCTCTAAAACACTTTCACTTCCTTGTAAGATAAATTTGGACAATCTGCTAACCCACACCTGCTGGACCATTCTGAAAGCCACCTCTGGGTGGTTTTAGTCAGCTTGATGGTTCCTTAACTGCAACATAGAAGGATGAAAATCCTGCCTGCGTTGCACCCAGAATTTGTTAGAGCCAGTGTTGATTCACACTGCCAGAAAACTAATCCAGCCTGTTAGCTAGGTCTAATGTAACTAAAGCAGTCTTCACCAAAACTCTGTTAGGAGTCTTTAGGGAGTATGCTCAATATGATGATGATTAACATCAAAAGCACGAAGTGTAACTTGTTCGCTAAATGATTTCTTGTATCATAATTGTTGTAGGTCTGGGATCTCAGTGATATTGATAAAGATGGTCACCTGGACAAGGATGAATTTGCTGTGGTAGGTTGCTTTACATTCTCCATTCAGTGTGTCTCTTAGAGCAGATTGCTCAGTTTTTACTCTCAAGAGCTTTGCAGCTTTCTCTGCTCCATTTGATTGTTCTAATCTAAATTGTTCATGTGGAGCTATTAAATAATCTTTCTCAGATGTGCTGACTCTTGCCTATGTCACCAAGATTAAACTTTTTGGAACTGAAAATGATCTGCTCTGGTTTGCATCTCTAATCTTACTGTCCTTGTTTTAGTAAGATTTAAATGACTGACACTGGAAAATCTTGTAGCTTTTCCTTCTAATTGTTAATGTTATCTGACCTTTTTGCCTTTGCAGGCAATGCATTTGGTATATAGAGCTCTCGAGAAAGAGCCAGTTCCTTCACTATTACCCCCTTCTCTCATACCACCTTCTAAAAGAAAGAAGACACCCATCTTTCCTGGTTCTGTTCCTGTTCTTCCTGCAAGTCCTCCACCGAAAGACAGCCTCCGCTCTACCCCATCTCATGGCAGTGGCAACAGTCTGCACAGCACAGAGAGTTTGTCTCCCAAGCCCAGCATTAAGCAAGCACAGGTACAAATCTTTTTTCTCTTTTTTAAAATCAGCAAACTGTAGGTAAAAATAAACCTGCTTTTTGATTTCTAGGTTGTTGTTGGATAATTTGGGTGGAGGGAATGAAATGAGAATGGAAAGTTGCGGAAGAGAAGCAAGTGAAGTTTAGTCAGTGACCGTGAGGTAGCAGATCTTATGGGGAATTTTCACTTTTCATCAAAAGTGAAAACATAGAAAGGTTTCACTCGTGTGTCTGCTTTAGTACCAAAGAAATCATAGAATCATAGGGTGGTTTGGGTTGGAAAGGACCTTAAGATCATCCAGTTCAAACCCCCTGCCATGGCCAAGGACATCTTCCGCTAGACCATGTTGCCCAAGGCTCTGTCCAGCCTGGCCTTAAACACTGCCAGGGATGGAGCATTTACCACTTCTTTGAGCAATCATTATTCTACCTACTAAAGCTGCTGTGTTATTAGCTCGAGGACTTAGTATGCTTAGTTGGTCCATATTTCTAAAGACTGAATGCTTTCTGAAGCATTCCAAAGCAAGAATGTTTATCAGTATTTATAATTCAGATAAAAAGGTATTAAGCTAAAACATTCATAGGAAAAGGGGAAATACCCACTTACCAGTTAGATTGGATTGTGCAAGATGTTCAGCACTTCTGACTCTGAATAATGTCACGTATACTTGGTGTGGTGATAAAGACTGTTTCCCTTCTCTTGAAAGACAAAACTTTGTTTTCCAGCCCTCTGTGAATTGGGTGGTACCAGTGTCTGAAAAGGTGCGATACGATGACATCTTCTTAAAAACAGACACAGACATGGATGGGTTTGTGAGTGGCCAAGAAGTAAAGGACATTTTTATGCATTCAGGTCTCTCTCAGAATCTCCTAGCACATATATGGTAAGAATTCCCTAGTAGCTCTATTTTCATAACCTGCTGGTCTGGGAAGTTGGATTATCTAGCCACAACTGTGATCATGGAAAAATAAGGGAGAAATCATTTCTCACTTTGCTTTTCTGGGAGGGGGGAATAGGTCAGTCTGTGAACTGTGGTTGTCTTTTTAAGTTCTAGGGCTCTAAATAGTTTCTCAGGGTAATGCTGTTCTATTCAGTTAATGCATGGCTAATAAAATACTGCTCTCTTTATGGAGCTCTCTCACTAGAATAAGCAAGCTCTGATGGAGCTTTCAAAAGGAAATTACATGTATATGTGTATTTTAGGCTTCTTGGTAGAGGAGAAATAAGCTTTTCTTGTTTATAAGTATGATCTATTTTTTACTAGGGCTTTGGCAGACACAAGACAGATGGGAAAGCTGAGCAAAGATCAGTTTGCATTAGCAATGTATCTCATCCAACAGAAGGTCAGTAAAGGGATTGATCCTCCACAAGTGTTGTCCCCAGAGATGGTCCCTCCCTCAGAGAGGAGCACTCCCATACAGGCAAGTCATTGATTATTTGTAGCTAATACTGAGCTTTTGTGCTTTGAAAGTAATGAGCTTTGAGGTTTTGTAGTATTATGGACAAAATTGCCTTTTTTTTCCTTTTCTCCTCTTGCAAAATTCTTTAACATTTGAAAATATATGTATTTTTTTTTAACACGAGACCGCGAGTAAAGAAAAATGCAGTAGAATATTCTATAAATAAAGGAATAATTGAAAATACTCCTTTGTTATAGAGAAAGGTTGGGTTTTTTTAACTTCAGGGAACTGTTTAAAGCTGGTTTAGTGAACTGTCCCCTCCTGTAAAATGTAAAATTAAATGGCTACATGAAGAGTGGTGACTTCTTAGTTTCTGGGAATTGGTGGTTGATTCATTCCTTGTAGCAAGATGGTCTGTAGTCCTATATCTTTCACTGTTAATACCATTTTTACTGGAGCATCTAATTTTTATTAACCCTGCTTTCTTCCTTTCCTCAATAGTGTGTTAGTGTATTTCTGAAACTTAAATGAATAAATCATAGAATCATGGAACGGTTTGGGTTGGAAAAGGACCTTAAGGTCATCCAGTTCCACCCCCCTGCCACAGGCAGGGACACCTCACACTAGAGCAGGTTGCTCCAAGCCCCATCCATCCTGGCTTTGGACACTGCCAGGGATGGAGCATTCACAACTTCTCTTGGGCAGCCTGTGCCAGTGCCTCACCACTGTCATAGTAAAGAATTTCTTCCTTATACCTAACCTAAATCTCCCCTTTTCAAGTTTGAACCCGTTACCCCTTGTCCTATTTCTGTCATGTCAATATATTCATCTTTTCTGTAAATTATGTAGTATTTTCCTTTACTTTTTTTGCTTTCCCTAACCATAAAGCTTTTGAGCTTCTAAATATATTTTAATGATTGCTGTTGCTCTGGTCCTTTTAAGGTTTTTCCTGTATCCTTTTTCTACAGACTCTGTCAGGTTACTTGGCCTCTGCAGGGACTGAGATCTCAACACTAACAGAAATGCGTCGTGTGAGTAATTGTAACATCCAAAAGAATGCGAACTGGTTAATGTACACTACTTTTAACTTGAATTGGTCTGTCAAGAAGTTTTCAGTGTTAGCATGTTAAAGCTATTCATGTACTAGTTCCCTGAAGCTGTGGGCAGTAAATATACATTGGTGTGAGAGCTTTAAGCTTTCCATTATTTTCAGTTCACTGTATTTTTTTCCCCCATCTAGCATGGTTTTAGCTGAATGTAATGTGGAATAAACTGTATGCTACTATGAACATAGCAGATCAGTTTTCTGTTCATGTGGAGCAATGAACTGTGGGATGATAACCAATGCAGCAGTTCATTTTAACTTACTTCCTAATCATATTGGATAACACCTTATTATCATCCTGCACAGCAGATAGTAGAGGTCTCTCAGCAAGTCAGTGTGTAGTCTGAAAATGTAAAGGTGATATTAGAAGCTTTTGATTTGCCAGCTTGAAGAATTAGTCTGGAATTGGTGTTGTTATTTAGGGTTATTCAGTGGCATATTAAGAAATACTCACCCAAAAGAGAGGACTTAATTAACTTAAGCTCTGTATTCACCTGTTGTTTCTGCACACCGATCGCATTTTGCTGTGCTATCTGTTTGTGGTTTGTTGGTTGGGTTTTTGGTGTTTTTAGAGTGTATAAAGCCAAACTTTCTGTGGTTATCACAGCCTCAGAGTGAACGGAGCAAGCAAACTGCACATGCTTCTTTTTAAAATGCTATTTAAAACTAGTAGGCCTCCTGATCTCTCACACACTGGCAGTGAGTTCAGTGGTGCAGGTTTTGCTCCATTGCAGTGATTATTTTTTTTCTTTCAAGGAACTAGCAGTCCTTTCTATAATAATGACAAATTTTGTACCACATGCTGAGATCTTTTCTTAATAACTCCCAATGACAACTTTCTTGCCTAAAAGTCAAGTGATACCCTCTGTGTCTTCCCTGATCCACACCTGCATGGCTGTAGGAATGACATGCAGGAAATCGGGTATACTTGCAGAAATTGGTTTTAATTTGTGCTAATTTTATTGCTAAAGAAGATTGTAATTTCAGTCTGATTTTGTTCAGTTCCCTGGAAGCTTTGCTTTTGACTATAGCAGAGCTGGGTTTTTTGGGTTTGAATTTTAATTCTGCCATTGCTTGCAGTTTATTCATTGACATTGTGCATGTACTTTCACTGCTACATGTTTCAACTGTCCCGTCTGTTGTATGGACACGGAGCATATTCTCCTGTCCCAAAGGTTGATCTATGTGATGTGTTTGGTGGTCGTTGCGTAATAATTTGACGTCTCCCAAAGAATTCTGCAGATGTATTTTATGAGGATTGTGTCCCACCTTTGTCCTCAGCCTTTCTAAAGGCATGTCTTCTGTAAGAACATGGTGTTTTAATAGACGGTTTCATTCTTAACAGGATAGTTCAAGTTCCGTTGGATCAGGCGAATTTACAGGCGTGAAGGAGCTGGATGATATTAGTCAAGAAATTGCACAGCTGCAGAGGTAATAGTTGTGGACTATTAAAAGAACTGTGGAGTAGGAGAAACACAGAATCATAGAGTGGGTTGGGTTGGAAAGGTCTTCCTTATGTCTAACCTGAGCTTCCCGTTTAACTTTAAACCTGTCACCACTTGTCCTATCATAAGCATAATTGATTTGTATGCACCTTTACTCATTTAAAGACTATATCGGAATATGGGCTGGCATTTTTGGCTGTATGGTGTTTGCAGAATAATATTTAATTGATGTTTGCATATGCATGTGTGTGTTGCATTATTTAATCATGAATACATGTGCTTGTTTATCTTACAGAGAAAAATACTCATTAGAGCAGGACATTAGGGAAAAAGAAGAATCAATCAGACAGAAATCCAACGAAGTCCAGGTAAAAACTCACCATATCATTAGTATTTCTCACTTAAATCTAAAATAAGATACAGGAAGTTAAGCATTCTTTCTTCCATCTTGCCTTGTTTTGCTTCTGGGCAAGTCTTTCCTTCTTTCATGTGATTCTCCTTTAACTCACAATAAAATCCTTATTTTCCTGATATCCATCAGAAATGTTTTGTCCAGATGCTGCTTAATATAAACAGGAGATGTTACATGAACAGTTTGAAATGTCTATTCTGTTAGTGCTTGATTAAAATTAATCTGGGAAATCACTGGTCAAAGAGTATTGGTTTTGATAATTAGGATAGTTCCATTACATGTGCTCTGTGCCACAGTCTCTCTTCCATCTCGTGAGCACTGATTTGTTTCTGGCTGTCTCATAAAAGTTCCCACAGAAACAAAAACATACACATGCAGGGAATAGCCTATATAACATAGAAAATCTTTTACATTTTGCTAGCCTGTTTGTCTGTGGTTGATCATTCCTGTAAGACAGCTGCTAAATACAAATTACAAACTGTGGAATTTTCCTCAGGAGCTGCAAAATGATTTAGATAGGGAGACAAGTAACCTGCAGGAGCTGGAGGCTCAGAAACAGGATGCTCAAGACCGCCTGGATGAAATGGACCAGCAGAAAGCCAAACTAAAAGATATGCTGAATGATGTGAGGCAGAAGTGCCAGGAAGAAACACAGGTGGTGAGTGTACGTTAATTCTGGACATGCTTAAGAGTCTTTTGTTGAAGGAGATTCTATTTAGTGGATAACCTTGCTTGGTTTGTTCATTTTTACCATAAATGGCCATTTCAACGCTAACACAGGGGTCCAAGAAAGGATTTTGCTAGCCTAAATACCTTTCTCGGTGGTCATAAATGGGGGACTGAAGCAGAATATCTCCAGGAGTCCCCTTCTACTTAAATGGTTATTGCTCTGTGAATATATGAAAGATTTATTCAACCTAATAGGGTAGCTGAGAAGCATTAATGCTGACCTCTAGGACAGTCCATGGGCAGTGGTGCAGATTTTGGTCACTGTGAACCTCATCAGTGTTCTAAAGTAGGTTTTCAGGGGGATAGAATTGCCCATGTAGCTAGCCTGTTTTCTTAACGTAGAAACTTCGTGTATAAGGTCATGTAAGAAGGTATAAAAGGAGAGCTGTATGCAACTGAGTAATTTTAACTCATTATTGGAGTTAAAAATCACCTTTATAATACTTGGTAAATGTTTGAATGGAAAAGGAACTAAGTTCTGAAAATTACAAAGTAACCACCTAAGAAACACCTTTTAGTTACCTTTGTAATCAGGGTGGTATTTCTGTGATTTAAAATATTAGTATTTCTTGCTGTTATTGAATGTCTTTTGTGCTTTTATCAAGGATTGCATGCAGTTCTTCATATTAAGTTCTTGTTACCTTCCTTAGCAGTTGATAGGTTGCTTTACAAGTTTCTGTTACAGATTCGTAATTTACTGAGTTACATTTATTTCAAATTTCACTCTGATTTTTATAACGTTTTGTTTCAGATTTCATCACTAAAAATGCAGATTCAGTCTCAGGAATCAGATTTAAAATTACAGGAAGATGACCTTAATAGAGCAAAAGCAGAGCTGAATCGCCTCCAGCAAGAAGAGACTCAGCTAGAGCAGAGTATCCAGGCTGGAAAAGTGCAGCTTGAAACAATAATCAAATCTTTAAAATCAACACAGGAAGAAATAAACCAGGTATTCATTGTAGTTTAAACTTTTTTTCGCTTCTTGAAAGGCTAAGAGTCGAGCATCACCTAGAAAGGTTATGAAGAAGAATACTGGCTCATGAAATAAGCCTTTTTGGTGCTCAGTGGGTGAATTTCCATTGTAACTCAGGGAATGTTCAGCTCTGGGGAGGAGGGAAATGCAACCAGGTTTAACAAGAATGTGAGAATGACAGTGTTATTGAGTACATAACAGACTAAAGTGGTTTTCATTGCTTAGGCAAGAAGTAAACTTTCTCAACTTCAAGAGAGTCATCAAGAAGTCAGTAAGAGTATAGAAGAATATAATGAAGCTCTCAATGGGATTCATGGTGGCAGCCTGACGAATTTGGCAGACATAAGTGAAGGCCTTGGGCAGACAGAAAGAAACAATTACGGAGCTATGGTAAAAGCCTAAAGAACTGCTGTTGTTTGGTGTTTTCTACAATAATTAGGTTTGTGACTTGCACCTAACCTGAAATAGTGAAGATGTGTGTTTAGTTAGCTTTTCATATGTTAACAAATACCATGACCCCTGCAAGGCAGCAATCTTCAGTGCAAGGCAGTCCAAAGATTTCAATGCTGGTGGAAAACCTGATTTTTAAGCTTTGGATTAGGTCTTGTGCTATGATTTTGTGCCTGTGTAGCTGTAATGGTATGGATATGGAAACAAAAAGAAAAGGTCACATTAACCCTTGATAAGTAACCTGTCACATCCTTAGTCTCAGGAGGTAGGACTTTGTTTTTACAGATAAAGTGTAATAAAATGCTCAGCAGAAGAAAAGTAGGTTAGAAACAATAATACATTGAGAGGCATGGTTTAAAACACTTAGGTGCTTAGTTTCTGTGCTCGCAGGGCTTGCATAAACATTTATGTTTAATTTCCAGTAGAAACTTCCAGATGTTTCTCTTACTTGCAAAACCTAAGAATCACTTACTGGAAGAAAACTCCAGTACATGTTCGTAGTAAATGTTTTAAACCCTCATGCCCCTTCCTGTTTCTTAACTCTTCCTTCCTCTTCCTCCTCTCCCCACCTCCCTCCACTGTTCTGAGAAGTATTAGACTTCTTCCTTTGCATCTTGTAAAGGGATGAGGAAATACCATGTCTTTCTAGTACTGGGAGCAGTGTAAGCGGGTGGTTGTTACTAGGTGTTTGTGTTGGTGTTGAATGGCTTTGTCAATGGAGCCCAGTTGTACAGGTGCTGCAGGCGCGTATGGCTACTGGAGCAAGGACTGGTTTCATCAGAGACCCAAACCAGGCACAAGACAGGGGTATCATGGCAAATGAATGCAGTGAAGAGGTTTCATAACTTTAATTTGCTGTTTGTTTGTGCAGGCTGCATTTTTGTAACTTGTCAAAGCTGGAGGCTTGGCTTCTGCTGACAAACCTCTCATGAAGTGGTGGGGGTGACACTCCTCCTGCCATGTAATACTTTGTACCATGAAATCAGTACTTGGACCATTGAGTTCAAGAATGAGCTAACAAGAAGAAACCTTAACTTCTCAGTAGTAGTATCATGTATTTGAAGTCTACAAATGCTTTGTGTATCCTTTTAAACAACTCTCTTTACCTGAAGCTGAGCTGCAAAATAACTGGGAGAGAAAAATGTTTTGGTAGTGCAGTGGTTGGGGTTTGGTTTTGGTATTTAAGTATTTCAGAATTGAACATAGTAATACGGGCAACAGTTTAACCTTTTATTGTTGCATGTATTGGCTATACAACACCTTTTGATGTTCTGTGTAGCCTCAGGTCCCGTATTTCTTTCTATGGTGTAATTATTTCTACTTAAAAGCCCCTTACTCAGAAAGTTCTTTAGGAAGTGATTATTAAGATCTGTACAGGAACCAAGATAACATAAAATTTCTCCTGGGTAACTGAGCATTTTTATAATGGGAAGTTGCTGTAATGTTTCTCCTCTTATTTTTTAGGATGATCCATTTAAGAATAAAGCCTTGATGTTTACCAATAATACACAAGAACTGCATACAGACCCATTCCAGTCAGAAGATCCTTTCAAATCGGATCCATTTAAGGGAGCAGACCCTTTCAAAGGCAGTAAGTGACCAGTGGCTCTCCTGAGACCTTGAAGATCACTTTTTTTGAGTAAATGATCTTTTCAGAAAGTTTAATCATCTTGCTAAATAGTGGATAAAACAACTGATTTTTCTATTCTGCATAGGTGACCCATTCCAGCATGATCCTTTTGCAGAGCAACCACCTGCTCCAGCAGGTAATGGCCCTTCTGAAGACAAGACAGATATGATATAAACAATTTATAGCCAAACACTAGGATTTCCAAGGTTTTCCTGGCTTCAGATTTTTGGTTTGCATGTGGGGAACATAGAAACCTGATAGGGTGTGTGAGTGATTCAGGATCAATGTCAATAACGTGCATGTAACTCTTTAGTTCCATAACCTTAATATCAAACATGTACCTGTTCAAACTTAGTAAATATCCTGTTATCTGGGAGTTTATCAGATTTATCAAATTGTTGTGTGGTTTGATAAGAAAAATCCCATCAGTGAGTATGAGGTCAAATGTAGAATGATTCGTTATGGACACAGTACATGCTGTATCTACTTACCTTTTCATACACTCCTAGATCCATTTGGAGGTGATCCATTTAAGGAAAGTGACCCATTTCGTAGTTCTGCCCCTGAGGATTTCTTCAAGAAGCAGGTGAAGAGCGACCCATTTACCTCAGATCCATTCACAAAACCCCCCACTTTACCCTCAAAGGTCAGTAATTTCTCAATCTACACAAAATAACTTCTTTACTGTTTCCAAGCTTATTGTCTGAAAGGAACAAAATACCACAAAATACTTTTCTCCTAACTGCTGAAGTATCGTGAATTCCATCCTTAAAATTGAAGTATGGATTGTTAAGGCAATCAGCAGTTTGTTCTCTCCAGTTCCATGATAACATTGTCTGTTCACCGTGAAGATACAATTAGGTGGATATTTCTTTTCTCTGTTGGGAATTTCAAGCTGCCAGCACCCACTCATTCACACCATTACCTCCATTCCATCGCTGTTTCTGTTTGTGCAGTCAGATAGTGAATTGGATCGAGGAATTGGTCTGGCTAAAGAATTACTGAGCCACCAACGGACAATAGAGCCAACAGAGTGGAAGGACTGCATAGAACACGTTTGTCAAATGTATAGTCGCAGTTCTTAAGCTGTCCTTATGAGTAGGGGTTTGGCTGTTTTGGGGGGTGGGTATGGATTTTTGTTTTGTTGTTTAATCCTTTCCCTCACCCTTCCTTATGGCATTTATTGACTGTTGCCACCCAGGCGTTAGAACACTATTGCAGTGTCAGTTAGTGGGAGGTTAGTTTGTCTTCAGTACAGGTTTGTACTTAGATAACAGCAGACTTTTCAAACTGAAGAGCAACTGTAAACACCATCAGTTTAAAAAGAAGCAATATACAGACTCTGAATTAACAGTAATGTATATGCCTGACCTGAATATTCAGTCTCTTTTGCTTGAAGACTGAATACTTCTGGGATTTATTTCTTATTTTGCCCTGGTAGTTGGTATCTCTTGTATTTCAGCATGATACACTTTTCACTTTAATGTGTTTTGCTTGGAGGTACTTGGTGTTTTTTTCAAGGCCATCAATAGCCAAATGCACTAATAATGCAAATATCATGTTATCAGTTGATGATTTTATCCTGCTTATGTGTCCACTTAACAGAGTGGTCTGAAATAGGAAATAATGCAAGAGATTTTGATATGCATAAAAAGACAAGTGCACAGCAGAACAATAATTGTGTATATCTGTTCTTATCTAGCCTGACCCTTTTGAAAGCAGTGATCCTTTTACATCTTCCAGTATCTCTTCAAATGGTCCAGGTAAGAAGAAAAAATTTCCTCTTGAAGATGAATAAAGAGGTATCTCTTTGTGAAAGAAGAATCAAATGTTAAAGTTGAGACTAAAGAAAGTGAGACTGTTGGCAAATATCCTTTCAGTCCTTTTATGGATTATGAAGATTAAGTCTTCATATACACTCCCCCCACCCCACCCCAGCTGGTAGAAAACTTTGTTTTATGGAATTCTCTTTTAACATCTCATGCCCGGTCAAAATGCAAGTGTTTCTGAATCACCTGCCTAGTTTTGTACTTCACTGGCACCAAGCATTCTTCATAACTCTTGTTTTAAATATTTTAAATAACTTTGTTTTTTTTCTTTTCCCTGTATCTGTTTCAGATCCATTTGGAACACTGGATCCATTTGGAAGTGGCACTTTCAGTAGTGGTGAGGGATTTGCAGACTTCAGTCAGATGTCAAAGGTAAAGGTTACAAGGAAAGCAGCTGTCCTTTTAAAAATATATCTACAGATACTTTTTTGACTGTAACTTTTCACTGAGAGCCCACTTTTGTTAAGCTTTTTCCAATCAGCCTCTCCAGTTACTTAGCAAAGCATTTTCCATCCATCTCAGATATGGCAACCAAGACTGGTAGATTTAGCAGGGATAAATTAACTTTTCACAAACACTTTCAAATCCAGAGAAGCATAACTTCTAGTTTTCACCTGTAAGGAAAGGTGGTTGTTCCAGATATTAATACACCTCAGTGTCCAACCTTCCTCTGAACTCCTGAAGTCTTCAGGATCGTATCTTCTTAGATACTTTATCTCTCATCATATCCCAGTTTGTTCTTCAACTTCTCCATGAGTACAAGGACCCAGAGGAAGGTGGACAGCATAGTGTGCTCAGCTTTCATGGCTCTTAATAGAATTGCTGTTTACTTGGCTTCTTCATATAAAATGGGTATATAGGGTGTTTGAAATAGAACTGGGTCCTTATCCCTCCTCGTCTGCATCAGTCACACTTGGCTTTCTGAGATGGAGTTTGGAATTGACAATTGACATCAATTGCCCAACTTTTTACACTTGGTTCCACAGTAACACTTGAACATCGTAGGGTAAATGTCAATTACAAAACAGATTATCACATCCCTTTCACTACTTAAACTTTGTGTATTCTAACATTTTTCCTGTTTCTGTGGGGGTTTTAGTTCTCCGCTAGGTGGCAACAGCCTTTACAAATATTGATGTGTTTGACGAGTTCGTAGTTCTGGCAAAAGTCTTCCTTTCCTTTAGCTTTGCCCACAAAATTCCTCTTTCCGCATTTCAGAGTGCTAAATTTCTTTGCATGGCATAATTTGCTGTGCCTTGGTCAATCAGTAGAAGTACTTTTGAAGAGCCAGCTGCAAATAGGCAATGTTAAACATATGGGTTTGGAATTTTCCCTGAGCTTTACAAAAAAGACAAATAACTGTGTGTAACTTAAGAAAAGCTTGGCAAAAACCCTATCCATTCTGCATTTGACTGTGTTTTTCCAGTTGCTGTCATGGTTCTGTTTATCAGAGTGAAGGCCAGCTTGTAGTATGACTGTTCATTGCCAAAACTACTTTTTACTAAAAGTAGTTTTACTTTCTTTTCTTTTTCACATCAGTTTTTTTGCTAGGACAGAAAGTTCTAGAATTACTTGTGTGAGTAAGAGTGTAAGTACTTGTGAATGTTAATAAAACCCTAACACCTCTCTCAGTGGGCATTTGTTCTTACACCACTGACACAATTCTGTGCATATGTTCTTATTTTTTGAACTTCATGCTTTTACTTCTGGCTTTCATGAAACAACAAATGTCCTACAATGTGCTTACATGCTTTTCTTTTTCTCTCATGTAGTCGGTAGCTTCAGACCCCTTTGCTTCCTCTTTTGGAGGGGTGGGATTCTCAGATGACCCCTTCAAAAGCAAATCAGACACACCAGCATTGCCACCGAAGAAAAATGTCCCTCCACGACCCAAGCCACCCAGTGGTAAGAAGGTTTTCCTTTTTTAATGCAATTTATCCCAGTTTCTGTACATTGTTGGACATAAGGACAAGTTGACAATCTTCTACCTCATTATCTTATATTTCAGCCATGGAAGAGGAAGTATGAGATTATCAATAAAGTGGCAGAAATTGTCAGTAAACCAAACTGGAATTCTTCAGTCTGGAAAACATGATATGGGAGTGATAGAACAACTCTGTAAAATCAGTAGTGGCAGGGAAATATGCAGAGCGTGGAAAAAGTGTCTTTATGCAAGTGGGCAAGAAATGAGATTAGTAAGTGGCACCTTCAGAAGGAACAGAGGTTTGTTTTTATACAGTACTTAAATTTAGGGTTTGCTTTTTTTTTTTATTCCCCTGAGAATATGGTGAATGCAAAAAAGTTTAAATGGGCTGAAAAATGAGCTAGATAATTCTTAGAAGAAAAATCCAGCAGGGGCATCAGGGTCTACCAAACACCAAAATACTCTTTCTGGATCCTGTCTTGCTGAATGCCTGCACTTAGGCAGGTGCAAGAATAGTCTGAAGTATGGCTGTATCAGTACCTTGTTTTGGTGTTCTTCCTGAGGCATTTCCCACTAGATCCTAACAAGAACAGGGTACAGGGCTAGATAGACCTGTCCTGCTCTGTCCAGGTGTGATCATTCTTGCATTCATGCATTGCTGCATTAATGAAATACAAAACACTGTATGAATATATGGCTTGTTCCTGCTGCAAGTCCATCATGTGTGGAAGTTTTTAGGTAGGAATGTCCTGAATTGAAAAGAAGATCTCTCTCCGTGGAGATTCAGCTTCCACCTATTTGCCCTCCCTAGAGCTGATTTTCAAAATATGCACGTACCAGTGAAACTGTTTTGAGAACTGAAGCCACTTCGAGCTCTTAGTTTCAAGTCTCCTTTTAGCAAGAGTGGTGTAGTTCTGTAACCTATAGCAGTGAACATTCAGTTGCCTCAAAAAAAGCAACAACCCCAGCGTGCTGGTCAGCATCCAGTATTCTTATGTATCCAGTGCCAGTGTTAAGAAGCATAATACAAAGAAAACAGTGCCATTATTAATGTTTCCCTGTCTAAATGTGTGGATTGTCTACCTTTCTGCTGTTGCATTTTGGAGCAAAGCATGCACCCTGCAGCCATCCTGGTAATAAAACAACAGGTATCTGGTTGGTTCTGCAGACCAGTTGTGCTAGAGCTAGCTCCTTGGATAATGTCAAAAATGCTTTCTGTTCCTGGAGTATCCTGTCATTAACTATCCCATAGGTTGAGCCAAGGTTTGGAATGTATTACTTAATACTGTAAACTTCAAAGCAGGTCATTGCAGCAGGATTAGTTTGTTCCTATTGTTATGGTTTTACTGCTGATGATACACACAAAACCCCTGAAATCACATGCTGAGGTTCTGCATAGGTGAGTATTGATGGAAATTGTTCAGGGAATGCTCTAGGATTGTTCTTGAAGCCTGTCCACTGCTTGCTTTGTGTAGATAGTTTCTACTCTTGAGATACTAGAGAGCCTTTAGTAATTAAAAGAATACCTAACATGTAATGTTGGTAAATATCAACTAATAGGACATAAATTAATAAAAGCAGAATTTAGAAGCTGAAGGAAAACTTTGCCATTGTGGATGATGGTTTTCTTTCTTTGGTTTTCAAGGAAAGCTGTAAGTGGATCTTTTGAAGAAAAGCCTACATGAAATAATGTAGTGTTTAAAGGACCTGTATGACGTTGAATGAGTCAAACAAGTACTAAATACACCTATATTATCTCTTTCATGTGGTTTCTTTCTGTTTCTTGTTCGAAACATGATAATTCCTAGCAAATACAAGATAACAGTAGCAGCAAATGTGAGAAGTACATGCTGTAGTATTGACTCCTCTACAGAGGGGTTTTTGGATTTATGCCTCTCCATTCCACTTTGGTACGTAGTGAGGAATTTTGGAGAACCTTTGGCTTTACTGATTTGCTTTTCATTTAGACGTGTGCACTCAGCCTTTAATCAGCCTTTTTAAAACACTCTTTAAAATGTGCACCTTCCCCTCTTCTGGGAGACACAGTATTTGTGAGGTTCCGCTGCTCTACCAAAACCAAATGTTGTTATGATAAAATAGACTAAGGAGGAAACAAAGCAGGGTTTTTTTAAAGCAAATGAGCCTCATGTGCTTATGCAGTTATACTCCTCCCTTCCTTCCACAACTAAAGCAATCTTCAGTGGTTACTTAAAGCATGAGAAATTATATAGTAATACAGTGCGATTCTAGCAAAAGATACAGGGGTACAAGTGAACGTTGGAAATAGGAAAGCTGCTCAGAAAACAACCAACAGACAAGAAACTTCCGTTGTTTCTTACCCTTGTCATTGGTCTATTTAATTAAAAAACAAGTAGGTGATAATGATCTTGCTGAAGGATGAATAAATGCTACTTAGTACCAGGCAAATCTGTAGCTGGCCTTTCTGTTGGGGGCTCCTGCTCTCTTTAGTAAAACTGTTCTTTCTGTTGAGGGGGATTTTTAATAGTGAAAAGCACTTGAATGGTTTGCTTGCATTTTGTTAGGGAGGTGTATATATATATATATATACTCAAGTAGAAAATACTAATTTTTGCAGAGCGTTGAGAGCTGTCTGATTTTCCAAGTTAACTGGGGGGGAACTAACAAAATCCGCCAGGGATTGTTCCTGATTCATTGCTTTTCTGTTTGCAGTGTTTTAGCAGGTACATGAAAGGCAAGCATTGTCTGACCAAGCCATCAAGGTATCGCAGGGTGTCCTGGCTGAGCAGGATGGACCCATCTTGCCCATATGACTTTGTGTTGTCCAGATGAACAAGGAGTTTTGCATCAGGTCTTGTTTCTTCACAAGGACCAAGGCAGAGCAGGCCTTTGGAAGTGAACACAGGGCTGGGGAAACACTTCAGCCAGAGACTGGTTACCATTTACTGCAGGTCAGATCAAAAGGCCCCTTCAGATGTAGCTTGAAAAACCTCTAAAATGAATACATAGTTCAGATCAGCTGCTCTCATAGAAAGGCTTGGAGACAGTCTTCATACCATGCTTAAGGGAACTTTTCTGCTACTGCCAGCTTTGTCAGGAGCAGGGTTGCAGTGGGTAACCATAGTCTGGCCTTATAAATCCTGACCTGTTTGCTGGCTGCTTGTGAAGATTGGTTGGTTAGTTTGGTTTTAGTCGGTGTTTGACTTTTTCAAAACTTGGACACTGAGAAGCAGCTATGATCTGCTGCCTCTGTGAGCAAATACTTCAGTTCACAGCTGTCTGTGGTTGTTACTCTCTGGCAAAGATGGCAAACACTTGCTGTGTGGCATGGATTAGACATCCCTGAGATTCATCTCTTTCCCTTCTCAAAAACTCAAGAGAAGGGATGACAATCATGAGATTATTTCTGTAAAGCTGTATCTTAAACTGAATTATTACTTGTCCTGCTCTTCATAAATCATTTTCCTTCTTTCTCATTTGTTTTTGAACCAAAGTCTTTCAAGATCTTTCAGATGTTACAAAGTCTTCAACTGATCCTTGTTTGGACCAAAAGAAATTTCATGTCTTTTTCTGATGAAATGCTCTCTTGCAAATTCTCCAGTGTCACTATTTAAAGGTAAAGTGCATAATCTTTAAAGAGAATTGAAGGCAGGCTAATAAATCAGTGAATAAAAATAGAGAATGACAGGAAGGTGTTTCAGAAGCAGTAAGCCTGGACACCAGTGTACATCAGAGCTCCAACATACCTGTTACATGCAAAGATCTGAAAAATCACTGTCTCTGTCCCTTACCCTGGTTTAAGTTTCTCCTTTTAGGTTGAGAAAGGTCAGCTAAGAAACAGCTTTTTAGCAGTTCTGCCTAGACTGTGCTAATAAAAATCCCCAAGGGTGTGTGTGCATGTTCTTTCTCTTCAGGAATGCATTCGTAGTCCATGAAGTTCCTAATGGACATCGGGTTTTATACAGCTCCCCTGGGACTTGGCTGGAGTAATCTGATGTTCACCAGGTGGAACTGGAGAACCTGAGGGCTTCTTGAGAGAAAAGTGGGAGGTTTTCTGTATTTATTGATGGTGTATCTTGAATAATGCTCAAAAAGCACTGAAAAAAAAGAAAATTAGCTATAAAGAGGCCTGTGCTTTGCATAATGGGCTGTGATAAATAGAAAACAAGACAAATGACTTGCATTAATGAAACTAATAGTAGTGTATACTGATAGGCTTAAGCACAGGTGCCCTGTGACAGAGATCTCAGTTCCACTGCAAACAATTTTCTCAAGCTTTCCTAAAACATGGCTAAGCCTTTGTAAGTACATTTTCTCCTCTGTCCTAGAGCACTTGTGGTGCTTAGCACTGCTGAACTTCTGCTTGCTTCATATTTCTTGGGGTTTGTAAGACTTCTGTGTCATTATGAATCAAGAAGCCTGAAAGAGGCGATAACACTGAAACCTGTCAGTTAAAATGGGTCCTGTAGGTTCTCACAGGTTAACAATTATGTTTTCAGCCCTGAGCTGCAGATAGGAATCAGTCAGAGCTCACCGCTAACTAGTTTCTAGGTAAAAGTTGTTGATTACAAAAAGAGAGAAACAGATTTTTTTTTTCCTCTTTTTTCTTTTTTTTTTTTTCTCTTTTTTTTTAAAGTGCAGGAAGTTGCTGTGTGGGTGTCAGTGATTGGGTTATAAGTAAAATTCAATGCTCTAGTGCTTTGATCGTGGGACCTACTGCTTTTGCCCCACCCTTACCACTTCCTTTAAGTGCAGCACCATGCATTCCACATTGCGGTTATAACAGTACTGTTAACCAGTGATATTAGTGGAAGAACCTTCACCACTAACCAGTGTGTAACCTTCAACCTCTTCTAAATTTTTATTGCTTGCTTATAGCGGTTTTGACCTTTTTAACCTTGAAAGAATAAAAGTCCTGAAAGCCCAAGAAGATGACACCTTTTGTGCTTTCTTCCTGCAGATTATTTAATAAAACAAATTATTTTGTCACTCCAGCTTTGTA